AAGAACCATAAACTAATCAACAATTTAAATTGTGTTTCCTAGAAGTCACTACGTATATATCCCAAACTAAAATTCACCAGACATCAATGTGGATGATAGTTAAAACTACAAATCCATTGGATTGCATACAAAGCCAAAACTTAGGTGTCTGTACTATGTACCATGCACAATAGGTGTCTGTACTATGAACCACGTGCTCAGTACAGAACTTCCATTACCCCAGATGACGGGATCTACACGGACAAATTATTTTTTTCTATTTCTTTGAAACATCATAAACAAAATGGCGGTAAGGCCTCATGCACTAGTTATGATCATTTTTTTACAGCAAATATTATACATTATGCATACAAGAAGTAAGAAGTGACACATTTCAGTGGATACAATCCTCAAAAAAGCGGCGGATCTCAGCAAGACGATGTGGAGGAAGTTCCTTGATATCCGTCATTAGACGGAACTCAGGGTCATCAGCACATACTGCAATAATTTTGTCATCCTTTTCACCCTGTAAAAGAATCACCATAGTAAAGATAATCAATCAGAAACTTTGGGGGTCCTGTTTCTGAATCAAAAAGGTGCAAATCAAAAAAACTTCATCAAGCTATTGTCATCTAATTCCTTGATTATCCTATAATTCTTATCACCTCAACCACAGTCAAATAGGCTTTGCAAGGGTTTGAAAACATTGAAGTGACCGAGTTATCACATAACTCAAGTGTAAGGTTGTGTTGGGACAACATTGCTGAACCTGAACCAGCAGCTGAATAAGCAGTAAAGCACCTTAAGAGGCTTAACCATTTATGAGCCTTAATGAGCAGTAAATGATCTCGGGCATGGGCATGAAGCTTTATCATCCAACAAAAAGCACAAAACTTTCACCAAGCTCAACCTTGCCTGCCTGAAGTTTCCATTTAACATTCCCTTGATGGAGCATTAATATTAATTCTAAGAAGATATACAAAGGTCAGGGATACAAAATTAAGCAGCATAAGTAAATCCTATACCTGATCTATCATAGGCATCAATCCAATAGCACGAGCACGGAGGAAAGTACCAGGTAGTACAGGTTCCTGCATAAGAAATCCAAAAATTAGGAGCATCAGTTTGAGTTCAAACCATGACTTTCATTACGATAAAATCAAATCTCTTCAAAGAAGCTACCTGCATCAGTACCAGGACATCCATGGGATCACTATCTTCGCAAAGGGTTCGTGGGATGAAACCGTAGTTGTGTGGATAGACAACCGAAGAGTAAAGAACTCGATCAACCTATTTGAAACAACTTCATTTAGTAACTTATTCAAATTATTTTCCTCTTCTTTTGGATAAAAGGGGACTGTTACAATGAGGGATTTTTCAATTAAGTTACTTCATTTACTTCCCTAAAAAAAGTGGTATTTTAATTGAGATAAACTGATAAATTTAACAAAAATTAAGAGTCCTCTGCAGAAAAGGATAAATAGATGGCATTGATTAATTTAATCCACCAACATTGTAGGAATAAAACACTTTAAGATGCCCGTGCAGTGATTGTGAGAACAATTTGCAGATAGGACCTGTATCAGCGTTAGGGGAAACAGGATGGTTGTGAGTACCATAGATGCAATATTTTTTTATGCTTCAATTTTATGTGGTCTGAAGCTGCAGCAATCTGATACTATAGTGGACCAATTGGACCTTGCTCAACCTCATCACTGGCCATCAAATAATATTTGTTTTAAATCGAGGTGGTGGTTTGACAGGTTTGTAATTCTCTAACCATAACCCGGCAGGAAGATCAGGATCTATTCTACAGCGAGACAAAATTATATATACACCAACAACTATTTATATGAAACAAAATCTAATTGCACCACATGTATATAGACATATTATCTCACACTTCGTGTTTTCACAGCATATGATAGCATCACAAGTGTTTCTGGCACATGTTTCTTTTAATGCAAAAAAAAGTTTCATGCCAAAAATATTTGCCATAGAAGATCTTTCGAGGAAAAAAATCAGTTTCATTCTCGTTTTCCAGTGTTTGGTTAACCTTTTGAAAAATAATCCGAAGGCATAACCCAAAAAAATATTTGCAGGGCAACAGATACATAGATTGATATAAAAAGATGATAAGATCATTAAAAGTTACAATCACATTTACATTATGCATAAACATGTTTATAATTTGGACACACAAATTGCAAGTGTTTACTAAAGAGATGACTTACACCCCAAATATTGGTAAGGCATTTACGGGATTCCTAAGTTATAGTCTGGAAAATCTTTTACGTCAAAACGAACTGAACATTAGATCCATGGTTTTCACTGAACACTACTACTTCATAGCCGTATATTCTACTTTTCTTGCATTTGGATACGGACGTAATTTGAATATGGAAAGACGTAGAAAAAAGGACAAAAGAGAACACACTTTAATTAGTCCAGTGGTCTTGTCAAGCTCGTACTTGACTTTGCTGCCTTTTCCAATTTCAACCACCTGCCACAGAAATTAGCATCAGCATTTCAATGAAATTGGAAGTTGGAAAATTTAGAAGTTAAGGCAGCATCACAAATATCAAGATCCTCAGATAGCAGTACTTCACCGAGTCAAATGATCAGGATTCATAATAAGCTGACTGTAAAGGAAATGTGGGTCCAACTAAGCAGTGTGTCACATTAGCTTGTCCAATTAGTATTATATAGTTATTTATATAAAAAACCTCAACTACGGATCTCAAGGATGACATATCCTTGTTTAAGTATCAGAGGCACTTCCCATTCCCAATATTCTGCCCACAAGGAGTTCTATTTCTGAAAGGGATCTTCCAAAAATTTCCAATGAGAAAGAGAAAAGATAGCAAGACTTACACAGTTGAAAACTGCTGGTGCACCTGGCCCTGCATAAATCATAATTCCAAGCATAAGCACACAACTACAGAGGACACCATACAGTTAATATTTGAGAGATAAAATATCATATTAAGAGAGTAGACAACATAACGTGGAATGCTTTGAGCACCACAGAAAAATAAACAGACAGACTCCACGGACTAAAAAAGATTGTGATGTCATGACCTTGACATAGAATCATAACTCATAATACACTGATTAGTATATCAGAAGTTATAAAAGACGCCAACAGAAGTATTACCAATCTCTAAGTCATGCCAGGGATGAGCAGCAACAGATCTTCGTGACATAGAGGAGAGGATTCGTTCATTGAGGGCAACACGAGAGCTTCCTGAACTTCTTTGACTCCCTCTTTCATTTTTGTTAGCCATAGTTACCTTCAGTACAACTATACTAAAATATAAATCTTCCCATCAATATGTGATTCATGCTCATAATAAAATTGCAACATTATTTAGCTAAAGCTTCTACAATTTACAACCAAATCAGCTCACTAGTCAGGAATTTCTGGTGTCAAAGATGAAAACCTGGGATAGGGCAATACAAGTCATTCTAATTAGATAAAAAAAATTCTGTATTTCTATCCCCCAATCACCTATTATTTACTGTGCTACAACTGAACAGAGCGAAAATGGTGGCAGAAGAATCATGAAGAGCAAAGGAACAATCAATATCTCAAGTCCAAAATAAAATAATTTGTCAACTTAATAATGCACCAGTTAGTGTAAACCCGAGAGGCATAATTCCTTCACAATATCAGTGGAGCACAATATGGACTGGACAACACCAAAACAAGACATGGGCCAGATCAAAAAGGAAAATCACATAACACCATATATCTTTTTTTCGACAAACTACCAATACAGGGGATGGGGGAATCGAACTACCACCACGTCACAAGTGGGGTTCCTCACCCACTGGGATAGGACCGGAGTCCTCATACCACCGGATTTATGAACGAATTTTTATGAAGGAAATTTTTCTTCATTATAGACAGGAGTAAGAAAAATGGGTCAAACAGATCAACTAAAGTGTTGAGCCATATGTTTGTGTTTGTGCTATATAAAGATAAAGTGTACATACACAGGGACTTATCTAATGCTTATTACATAATCACAGGTAAGTGCAACTGCTATGTATGTCAAATAAGGGTTTAACTTCAAGTCTTCAACAGGTCCAAAATCTAAACAAATATTCGGAAATTAAAAAAAAAAAAAAAGAATTTGTCCAGCCAACTTACGCATTCCACATCCCCCACCACCAAATCATACCGTTTACGTAAAACCAAATTCAAGAAACCAACAAATCCCTCAAAAACAGAAATCATTTGAATCAAAAAAGAAGGGTTTGTATAAACGGGAATCTACAAAATAGCTCTTCCAAGCAAACAATTTCTACATATATGAAAAGAGGGTGTATGCACTAAAAAAGTTCTTGAAAGCTATCATAGAAAGAGAGGGAAGCTTACAGTAAGATGAGAGATGTGAAGTGAAGCTCTCGATTGGCGTTACGAGGTTGTGAAACAGCAGAGCCCCTTTTATCCTTCCTAGGACGTGCGTTGCGGTGAATAATTTTTGTATACAAAAATTAATAAAATATATTAGATATATCTGTACCTGAATTAAATTTTGTCTTAAATTTAAAAATTTTAATTTTTTATTGCTCATGTTCTATTATAAGATTATAAAATTTTTATATATTTCTAAAATTCTTTATTCTAACTATAACAAATAAAAAAAAATATAGTTAAAGTCTTATACTTTTAGAATTTTGTGATTAAGATTAATTTTTTTTTAGTGATGTTTAAGAAATTAAAATTTTTTGAAATACATTTGATAAGGATTTCAATTATAATTCATTGAATAAAATAAAAGTAATTGTTAATATACTAATCACATTGGAACTTTATTACAATTAAAAATAAGTTAGGTCAATTGGAATAAGATTTAATATACTATTCTATAATTTGTATTATCAAATATATTAAAATTCTAAAAAATTCAAGTTTTACTTAAAAATACACTACGATATTTTTTTTATAAAAAAATTGTAGTACAATTTATAAAATTTAGGATAAATTACATTGATATCCCTATAAATTGGTCTAATTACAGAGACATCCCTCAATTTTTTTAAATTACACTGACATCTTTTACTCTTTACCTACTTATTTCACAAAGTATCTATATAGCTAGCATCGTTATTGGTAATGTCAAAAAAATAATTACATCATCAACTTTTTGTACTTTAATACTCATATTACCACTGGATAAATTAAGTTAACCTATTTATTTTCGTATCGTGTTCGTGTTTGAATTTATATATTTTTTTTATATCGTGGAACCTCTCCAAGATAAGGCCACTTTGAACCTATTCTTGTGAGGGTAAATCCCGATACCTGTAATTACCCTCAAACCACAGGTATCAGTTAAGTCTGAGAGACACCTACGAGAGTCAAACCCCTGACGTTCGGGTCTACAATTTTTCTGGGTTCAACTCCACACCGCTAAGCTACCTGCGCAGGTTTGTTCGTATTCATGTTGACTCATATAAATTAAAAATAAAAAATTTAACGTTAATATTTAAGTCTAAGGTTCTATTATTACTTAATTGAATGCATTCTCATCCTTTTCCTATCAACTAAAAATTAATTTGAAAAACATAGAAACAATAATAAGTAAAAATATATTTTTATACAATAATTATGCTAGTGCTTAATAAACAGCAACAAATAATTATATAATTTATTTTTTATAATATCAATTAAACATATGGATCATTGAAACTCCATGTTGTTCGTGTTAACATACAAATGAAAAAATAGAAGAAATTCGACACAATTAAATAAAACGGATTGATTGTGTCAATTTTAGGTTTGACGAGTTGAACCCGAAAATGACTCATTTATTAGTATTTAAATATATGAGAGGATGATGTATGGTAAGGATAATTATGAAAATTTGTATTTTTTTTTTATATTTATTAAGGGACAAGACCTGACATGGGCTATCAGTGTAATTTCAAAAAATTGAGGGGGTGTTCCTATAATTAGACCAATTTACATGAGTGTCAGTGTAATTTATCCTAAAATTTATTGTGTCTGCAAAATTATATTGATATAACATAAATTGATTTAAAAAAATTATATATATAATTATTTTTATCAAAAAAATGAAAGGGTTCAACTTTTTGATGAAAAATAATATATATATATACATATAGAGGATATAAGATGATGAATAATATTATAAAGATGGAGTTTTTGAAGTTTTTTCGAACAATTTATTGAAAATATAATAATGCATATTTTTTTAAAAGTAATATAATTAATCAAAAAATAAATATTTATACATAAAGAATAAATAATTAAAAAAGATGTTATAGTTATTTTAGAGATTTAAATATATAAGGATATGATAGTAATTTAAATATTTAATTGTGAAATGATAGAGTGGTCTTTACAATCTTTTTATAAGGATAAAATAGAGTTTCAAAAGTTTTTCATCTAAGGTATTTTTATTAGTAGTATAGAATCGTGTTATATTTAAATAAGGGTGAATTACACTTCATATACTAAAAATTTTAAAAAAATATATTTTATACCCTCAAAAGTTATTGTTTTTACGTGAATAATTTTATGTGCACTAAAAATATACTCAGTACACTGTACACCAAATCATTGTCGGCCATTAAATGATAATGGGTTTTATTGATCCGACTGTTGATAATGATTTGGTGAACAAATTGGGTGTGCATAGTATTGCTCTTTTTACATTTTTAATGTATTAAAAATATAGCAATGAAGCTCTTCGGTCAATTTTTGTTGTTTATTATGTTAATGTAAATAGGTAATTTTTGACATAATGATAATGAAAACTAAGGAAATGATCATATTACAATAATTTTAATATATTGAGGGTATAATGTACAAAATTTAATCTTTAAAACTGTAAAATAAGAATTTTTAAATTTTTTGGGGGTGTAAAGTGCGATACCCCTTTAAATAAAGCTGGACAAAAGAGATTATATGCGGTGTCCTTATTCGGGCATGGGTCCACCTCTCGGTCTATTGTCAAGATGGGTCGTTGGATTGTTATTCAACTTGATCGGACGGCTGTGGAGGTGACAATGTGTGGGCATTATAATTGTTCTTGAGAAATGGAGCTTTCTGGTGCAAAACCCGGGGAATATTCCATTTATTCACGCTCTTAAATCACTTAAAGTGGTATAAATTATGTCTGTCAAAATTCGACATTAACTAATACGAATTGATATGAATTAAACGAGTTTGAGTGATATCTTAACGGATTTGAGTGGTAAAAGGGTTGAGTCGATTGACCCTTCAGACAAATTTAATAAATAAGTCGTATTCGGGTGTGACTTGTCAAACTGTTTATCATTCGTTTATCCATTTAAATAAAATTAACATAATAATAAATTATTAATTATTTTAAAAAATTAGCTAGAAAAAAAGTATAGAAATCAATACAAAAAAAAAGTAAAGTAGTAGTTCAAAGACAAATGAGGGAGAGATGAAGAACAATTCATGACAAAGGCAAATCAACTCCTTTCGTTTTTGTTCCACGTTGGCAAATGAGGGAAGATGGGGAAGGATTGTATTGCCTATAAAAGCAGTGGTTTATTTCCTTTTTTTTTTTTTAACCTTTAAATTTGATTTTTATTCTAAATTTGGCTAGAAATTCCTCATTTTTGAGGTAAATATAATTGACAACAAAAAAAGTTGTGTATTAAAATTTCTTGATATATTTTTTTTAAAAATTAAGTGGGTTAAACTAGTTGTGTCGTATTATCCGTTTTATTAAACTGGTGGTGTTAGTATTGAGATTTTTCACCTATTTATTAAATGTATCGTATACAAATTTATATATTTTTCACCCGTCATCCTTTTAACCTGACACGTTTGACACCCCAACTATAGATGTTTAATAAACTTTGTAAAATGTATTAATTTAATAGTTTATATTGAGATAATGTACAAAAATAATATAAAAAACGTGACGCGTATTATTGTTGTTTATTCACAACCTTGAGGCACCGGTTTGATGGGACATGAAAATTTGGTGAAAACAAAAATGGACTAAGAAGTATGACGTGCAACAATGGATCAATTCATTCAATAAGATTTGTTCGGATCAAATTAGGAAGAATGAGATTGGTCTGACCTGTCGCCCGGATGTAATAAGGATCAAGATTAATCATCTACATAATCAATATTTAATTTTGAATATTGTAAAATATCTTCGGACACAAAATTATTACTAATACTAATACAAATTATAAAATAGTCAAGCTAGAGTCAAACCTATTTAACTTTATTTTCTATCATACCTCTATGATATGTTCATCTTTGTTAATTGAAATCTTTACATTCTCGAAAGCAAGCACCAAGGATTTGGGATAATAAAAAATTAATTCAAGTAATTGAAGGGATAGAGTAAAAATATTTATTAAAAATGCTTTAAAAATTATTACATCACATGCAATTACCCGTATAAAATCAGCTACAGAACTCTTGCCACGTGTTGGTAAACTTAACCGAGTTCGAATTTAATTCCCAATAGTTTTCAAGTTTTAATATGAACAATGAAAATATTTAATTCAATATAAAAATTAAATTAATTATATTAAATAGAGCTCGTTCTCAATTCAATGCCGAGAATAAATGGTGGGACCCATAAATATGACCCCACCTGATTGGTGAGTCATTGAGATTGGGGGAAAATTGAGGAAGTCTCGAATCCAGAGGATCTAAGCCCCTCTCAACAGCAGCTTGTCGTCGTGGCGCACAGTGATTTGCTATGTGCATTTTTAGAGAGAGAAACAATATATATCCGGATGTGTAATTCTTTCGGCGAGTTTTTTAGGGTTCTTCGTAAAGTTCAACACCGTCGAAGAGCTTAATCGGATCGTCGGAAACAATATGAACGGAATCGGGGGTGACAATGCGACGGCAAATTCACCGGTAGCGAAATGGAGGGACGATTTTTCAAAAGCATTTCAGTACTATCTGGATCGATCTACGCCTCATACGCTGTATAGGTGGCTCGGAACATTGGCGGTGGCTTTGATTTACGTATTGCGTGTGTACATAGTGCAAGGGTTCTACGTTGTGTCCTACGGTGTCGGAATTTATATTCTGAACCTCATGATTGGGTTTCTGTCACCCAAGATTGATCCGGAGCTGGAGGCTTTGGATGGGGCAGCTTTGCCGACTAAAGAATCTGATGAGTTTAAGCCTTTCATTCGCCGTCTTCCTGAATTCAAGTTCTGGTAATTGGATTCTTCCCGTTTGTTTTAATTAACTGGTTCCAACGTTGTGTTCATTGTGTTTTTAATGGCTTGAACTCCTGTTGATGGCCATTTTACTTCTTCTCGAATTTTTTTTTGTTTGTATGTCGCTCATTATGGTAAATGTTGCATCATTAACACTAATATCAGAAGCATTCATGATGCATCTGGGCGTTTTTGAGAGTCAACATCAATTTGTGGTTTGTTCTGGTTATAATGGGTCTGGAGTTATGTATGGGGGTTTTCTGTGAAACTAGTTTTTGGAACATGTGTGTAATATGTTTGAAGGACCTTTAGTGACTGGCTTTTCATTATGCATTAGTAACTAGTTTTTATGTGAGTGCAATGAACCTCTTGTGAAAGCAGGCATGGAAGGAAATAGGGAGGCATTGTTTTTTAGTAACTACTTAGGTCCTCTTAGTTATTCTAATTTTAGTTTTTATTTTAGGGTTTTTTTCCCTGATGGAGTAAAGAGAATTAAATTTCTCTTAGCAAAGGGAAAAGACTAGTTCCTTAAAGAATTGGCATCATGTCCCTTCTCAGGACAAGAAGCCATAAATAGTTAATGGGGCTTAGTGCATAGTCGTATTTGGTGCATTCACTAGTTGATGTACTTGGCTTAAGCAAACCTTGACAGTATATATAGCCAAGTAAACGAGAATGGGAGTGCATTCACCAGTTGATGTAGTTGGCTTAATCAAACCTTGTCAGAGTATGTATAGCCAAGTAGTAAACCACTCACAGCAAAGAACATCTGCTGAAGCATACTAATTTGTGTTGCCAAAATGAGAGATCTATGTACTTTGTGCATTATTCATGTATCTATATTTGTTTTTAAAGCAATTCAACTGAATGTGTCTAACTGAAAGTTTGATAGCCATACTCTTCAGGTGATCTTTCTGGTCTGGTCTTGAGTTGGATTCGTTAGATTTTTCGAATGTGAATTTAGGTTTTTGACGTTAGCTTCCAAGTTATGCTTGTCCAGGAGGTGGAAAACCTGCATAATTTGGCTTGTAAGGTCCATTGTCAACAGGCAGAGAGTGAATAAAGGTTTACACATGCCAGTATGCCACATGAACATAAAAAATAAATCAAGGATTCAATAACCTATTCAGAAATCATTTGACAGCATGAAGCTTTATAAATTATTGAGACTGAGTGATTTTGTCTTTCAGGTATGCCATCACAAAAGCTTTTGTTGTTGCATTTCTCATGACCTTTTTCTCCGTGCTGGATGTTCCTGTTTTCTGGCCAATATTACTGTTCTACTGGGTGGTTCTATTTTTCCTCACTATGAAACGTCAAATTTTGCACATGATCAAGTACAAGTACATCCCATTCGACTTGGGAAAGCAGGTGATTGGTTGTAGCTGATGTTATTTCTGATTTTTATCCATGCTGCTGCTCTGCTATTTATGGTTTATTTGTCTTCAGTCGGGCTTGTCTTGAGCTTATTGTATTAAATGTCTTAAAACTTTTCTAATGCAATGCTTTCTTTATTAATTCATTTTGACAGAGTTACACCGGGAAGAAGAATTCTAGCAGCAGTTCACCTAGGGACTGAAGTTGCATCATTGACTCAAGCAACCTAACAAAACGAGAAACATTTATGTGCTTTTAGATTTTTGAAATATCTAGGTTTGTATTTCTCCTTCTAATTGGTTTTTGGAACTTTCAAATCAGAGCTTCTTTTAGGTATGTAGAAGTACCATTACTGAACACACGTGAAGCTTACTGTGCATATATAATACTATGAACATTCTGATGGCTTTACAGAAATTCATATTGCCTCTACCTTCTCTCTTGGAAACTTTTGGTTATCCTTGTCTCCAGACACTATATCTGATAAGTAGATGAAGGTCAATTTTGTTTTTTCCTTTTCTCTGGTTCATTTTCTGAAGGAGCAGTAAACTATTTCATGACCATTCCAGATGCTTCCTGCATCGGTAATGGGGGAAAAAGAACATTGCATGTAGAATAGACCCGACGGTGATGGGATCGAAGGACTTGCAATTCATTTTCTTCAAGACAGGTGGATTTTTCCGAAGTCTAAATCTAACTCACAAACAAAAAATAGAGTCAGGACGAAAAACAATTATGCTTTCAGGGCCATCAAATACTGTATAGATCTTCATTTTATTGCTACAAACAAGTGCACATACAAATTCATTCATTGTGTTTGAAGTACATTGTTATCCAATTTTGGGTTCTTTTAATATCAAGTATCAAACAAAAGCTTAACGTGTAGCAACTCCACATAGAGAAACCAAGGTATAGCTTATAAAACAATAGTCTCGACAAAGACAAATCTGCTTACAGACTATGACTGCAGACTATTGCTGGAACTCTTCCTGTATATGCTCATGAACTTGGCCACAAATTCTGCAAAAGCATGACAAATTCACACGTCAGAAAACTATTCTGATGATCGCCAGTGCATCAATGAATTTCCAGATATAGTTTTCCATGGTGCACACTGTGAGACTTGCTTGAATAAACTAATTGTGGGAGCTCACACCATCAATAAGGAAAAATTTTCACCAGACTCTACTCAACTTACATGTAGTAAAAGTTACTTCCTGCTCTATGCAGAAAACTATCATTCAGATGCAACAGGGGTGGCTTCCCTCTCGCTTGTACTGAAGATACGTGTTAAGTCATTTGCGAAGAAAAAGCCTAAAAACTGATGGTATCTCTCTACCTCCATAACTCTCTGAAATCACCCTGCCACATGATTTTCTAGGTTCTATCTCGTCGTTTGTCATGTATCCACATGCTTTTTTCTAATAGTGACTCAGCTCAGTATACAAAACTGCTAAAGGTTTTGACCCAAGACTTTAAAAAAAAAAAAAAAAAAGAACCTTTATTATGGCTGAATTCACAACCCATCAAGTGTGACTTTCAGTCAAACTACATGTATGTGATGTGTGTATACATCCTCTCGATTGTGCTTGTGTGTAAATAATGTTCTATATTACCTTCTAACTTTAGTAATGCACTTGTTCCCATTGGAAGTCTTTTATCCTGTAGAATGTGACTTCAGTTAATCTCTTGTAGTCAACAAAACAACAAAAAATAAACATAGGAGGATAGCACTTACATAATAAGCATGCCAATAGTAAAGTTCCCTTTTCAAACTAGCTTCTACTCCCTTAAGGAACTGTTCGACTAGTTTCTGCATGTTGCAAGCATCATTATAGTCAGAAAAATATATTTTGGCAGTTGATCAAATGAAACAATGCAACTGAACATATTAGGTGCATTACCAGGAGCATCAGTTTAGGATGAACGAAATCCACTAGAAGCTTTTGGAACTTTCCCCTTATTAAAAATAATCTGATAAAATCATAAATGTAACTATTAGCTTAGATCCTTCCTCCCACAAAATCAATGGCAAAGGAAACACTCACTGGCTCTTAAATCAAAACAATAGGTGGCATTGCCTATGGAGTGAAGTATTCGAACTAACAATAGCAGGTTTGTGGATTTAAACCTGAGGGGAAACACTTTATGCAATTTACACCAAAGTTCATGTTGTACCCCCCTCGATCCCTTCCGACAACTCAATTGACGGGGCCAAACTTGCCAATAACAATAGACGGAAACAATAATAAAAGAACCAAAAGCACGTTGAGGGACCAGTAATCTGCTCTCAACATGTTCAATTAACAAAACTTCAATTCTAGGGTTGATAGGACAAATTTGCTTAGCTTCATTGCCTCCCGTGTTATCTGTAACAAATTAATAACAGATCTGTAAACCAGTTAAATGTTTTACCTTTTAGGTGATGGATCAGCTAGGATTTCTGCAGCAATTTCCACCAGGACCTCTTCCCATCCCATTGGAATTGGTTGGTCATCGGCAAAAGGATAACTACTTAAGTATGATACCAAGTAAGTCGACGAACAAGTAATTAGATGTAACAGTCACAATGAATCTATCACCCACATTCTTACTTGTGTGCCTTGCATGCTTCAAGGGCCATAATTGCTTTCCTCTGGTTTTGCTTTGATTTAGTAGCAATCTTTGCTGCGAAGCTCATGGATAGTTCAATGTCTTCCTTCCTTGCTATCTGAATAAGAACTTCCATGATCTGAGAAATGTGGAGAAAAGAATTAGAAAGGAACTCAGATCCCAGTTGGACATAGCCCAAGAAGATTTCTAAGCGGCGACACCGAGACATTCCATGTGTACACAAGCAAGATCTTATAATAATAATAGTTATATATTTCACATTCTTCTTAATATGTTTATGCTATTCAAGTTTTAGTTATGTTTTGTATGTGAATGATATTAAACACTTATGGGATGCTTATTCAACATTAAAACGAGGGAACGTGGTTTTGAAGTGACATCATATCCATCGTAAAAGACCAAAGGATGACACACCTTTTACACTGAAGCCTTCGTCTTAGTTAGATTCTGTACTTTCTACTTTCTAGTCCTTTAGTTTTGTTTGCTACTAACCCTCATTTCTGTCGGGAAAGAAAAATCTGATTCCCTGCAAGCATCCTTGGGTGGATTCCTACGTCGCTAAATGAAATACTGCTAAACACATCATGTTCTGTGGGAATCGGGGTGGTTGGGACAATTCAATGTTGATTCTAAGCAGAAAGAAAAAGTCATAGATCAAATTTCAGGATCTTATTTGGTGACAATTATTTAAATCTCTTTGATAAGTTCAACCAAAATAGCAACTCAACCATGAACCTAAAGGACATGAAATTTTATACTTAATGGTCCTAATTGACGGTGTTAAGCAGATATAATTTTTTCGAGCAATGATGGTTCAATACCCACTATTTATCTGGAAGATAAATATTCGCCATAAAACAAAAAAGTTAAAACAGACTTTAAACCCACATTCACACACTGATTTACCATGTGCTAGAGATTCTGAATAATCAATGAGCAATTTTCCAAGAACAAAATTTATAAAGATGCTGATATGTCTTCCATAAATAAAAAGCCATAAAATAGCATTGTGACCGCCACAATTATGCTCAAATTATCTAGCTAGATTATATAAGTGCTGCTGAGAACGATACTTTTTTTCTATGTGGTAAAAGATAAAACATTATAAAGATGAATTGATTACATGAGAGGACAAGGAGTTCTTGGTAGTTACATAAAGAAAGCCTAAACATGCTAAAAACACATAAAAATAAATGATAAAGAAGGTGTGAATATGCTACTGTTTTAGTCAATCCAACTAATTGGTCACCTTGTGCTCTGCTAGTGGTGATTAACAAAAGACACCTCTTGTGTAATATCTTAAGAGAAGATTGTTTGTTGGCTTTCAGCAGTGAATATTGTTTGCAGATGATTATGCATACATTTCAGAGAAATTCCAGGTAAGCTTGGAATAAACTATATGGCCTCAAATTAGCTAGCAATGGTATAACAGAACGGAAATGTCATACATGGAAAAATAAAAAATGCTATTACTCTTCAAGAGATATAGAAAACTTACTTCATGAGTTACAGGAGCATCAATCTTAAAAACCTTGCAGCGATCTTTCACCGGTTCAAGTATGTCCACATCATCCTCACAGCAGAGTATGAGTTTACAAGCATCTGTGTAACAATCCATGATCCATTTTATCAGGTGCTGAATGCTCTCCGAAACTTTGTCAACATCATAAAGAACCAGTACTGTAAAAAACAAGATACAATTATTAAACTTCAAACAGATGTGTCACACTTTTAGAGGGATCCCATATGTGTTAGTATGAATGGACCTGTATAATCTGCTGCATTAAAATTAACATTGCTGATTTCAGGAGTAACTGCATAGTTGCTGCTTATTTGCTTGACTAAAGCCATCAATGCATATCTGGCATTGGGTTCCAAGTAGACATTAAGCTCCACATGGTGAGCACTGGAGGTTACAGGAACGACTACTTCCATTGGCCTTGCTTCCTGTCAACAGAATGAATATGGGGTTTGATGGGGCTATGGGAAGTCTGATTCAGACCAGAGATAATTAGAGATATAAAATATATTCTTTTATCAATGGAAACCTGGAGACAAAATTAATTCTTTCCCTCTTTTACCAGTCCTAGTTCATTTTTCAAAAAAGTTGTTCCAAGTCTATTGAAAACCACATTCCAATGAAAAACAAAAGCTCAATTGGTTCTTCCCCCTTTACAGGTTCTAGTACAGAAATTTTGTTGTTCCAAGCGGACCAAGCCTATGGAAAACCAATTTCCAATGAAAAACGAAAGCCCCATTTGTATCAGAAAGATTGATGAAGTTTGGTTCAAAGTCAGATTGTTATCAGATATAATTTCTATTACATATATGGTGCTCAAATTATTTTTTACATCAGAAAATGCTAAAAAGAAGGTTGAGAGTGCAATAAACCTGAATCTGGAAGTATCTCAAATCATGAGTTATCTGCAAAAGAGGAAATACAAAAAGAAAGAACCAAGTATGTTATGTATCCAAAAACGGTGTCCAAGGAAAACTGTTTTTCTACATTATTGCATTTGATAAGCATGAAACATACATTGGAAACAGTGTCCCCATAAATTTCATGTAGAAGAGCCATTGCCAGGGCTTTCTTCCCAGAACCAGAAGGCCCCTTGAGCAAAATGTGTGGACAGCCTCCAGTGGCTATCTGATAATACAGAAGAGTTAGAAATCATACAGAAAACTGCTGATGCATAGTGAAAAATCTGTAAACAACAACGAAAAATAGCGATGATTCTCAATTGCTAAGCTCTGCATATTTGACTTGATAAGAAACTTGACTTGCAAAGTATTCATGATTTTTATCTAAAGAAGGCAACAGTTTGACATCTTGAACTGAAGACACTTACAAGTTGTTTAAGTAATTGAGCTTCTTTTTTGTGGCAAATAAATCCATTCAAAGAAGTGGGTTGATGCTTATCAGCCCAGAATTGTCTCAGGCTTTCAACCACAAACGCTTTCTCTATGAATGAAGCTTCATCAAATGCTCGTTCTTTTTCTGGTGATTTTTTTGAGGTCCTGCAAGATACCTTCTTGATGCAAGAAAACCATGCTTCACCATGCCTCTTCTGTCTGTTTGCTGTGAATTTTTTCAAGCTTTCACTTGTCCTCCCGCTAGCGTCGCTCTCCCTGCTTACAGAAGAGCCGTTAGTTGTAGTTGTTTGTGTCAAAATAGTACTAGATGAAATCGCCCCGGTTTTATGATTGAAAGTGCCATTTGACATGTTTCGTTGATGAGAACCAGGATTTCTATCGGTGCAAAACCCACCATTCTTTGGAAATGTGATCTTTTGCATCGCCAAGGCTGCATAGTCCCGTGAAAAGAAAATGTCACCTGGTGAAATGGACTCTGTGCTTTCAAAGTTTGGATCATTGTTTATCGGACCTCTAGAAATCTTTGCATTCACAATCATTTCGTTGATTTCACCTACTGAAGAAGCATTTTTATGGGAAGCTTCCCTATCTTTCCCAAGAATATTCCTTGGCAATGGAGAGGGTGTCCTATCCTCTTTCTTTTCATCTGTATGATCAAATTTGATCTGTCGGTCCTTCTCTCTTGATCTCGGCCTTGGAGCAGAAGCTGATCTACGGCTGTAATTCGATTTCTCACTCACTTTACTACTGTCTTTAATGGAATATCTATCGTTTTGCTTTCTATTTGAGCTGACAATCTCATAATTATTCAAATCATGGTCCTCTCTCATGGATTTATGGGAAGGAACATGTCTGCGACGTTCTGATTTTGAAAAAGGACTAATATTCTTACGAATATCAGAAAATTCATAACCTGGGGTAAGAGGAAGAGGACTAACGTTTCTGTGAAATTCAGAAACAGGCGGAGGTGAACGAGCATTACCATCATCTCTTCTCGGCTTGTAAGGTGACTTACTGGGCCTCCTTCGAGTGGGACTAGCTGTCAAAGCCTTAATAGGAGAAACAGCTTCATGTTCAAACTGCACAGTGTCTTTCCGGGTGGATCTCGAGGGAGTTCTGTTTTTAGCTTCATCCAAAGCTATTTTAGGCTCTTCAGAACCAAAATACTCATTTTTCTTGGTGTGGTCATGCCACGGAGTTTCATGCCATTCAGTCTCGGTATCTGATGGTTCATAGCCGCTCCGCCTCCTTGTTGTTGATAAGGACTGAAGCTGTGATGCCCTGCTGTGTCTCGACGAAATCTCCATTTCTTTCTGAGTAGTAACAAATATCTTTTAGAATTAGGACTTGCAATTTGGACCTCAAAGCATTAAAACTCTTCAGAGGCTTAATTTCAAACACTTGAAAGGCTACTGTGATATTTGAAATCAAAACCACAAGAACTAGTATTGTTTTTCGGAAAGAAGATGGAGAAGCTCAAGTGGCACAGATTCAAAAACACCCACAAAAATGAGAAGAAGATTGATTTATGGATTAAATGAATGGGTGCAGAAATTCTTTTCAAGAGGAGGTATTGCAGTCCATGGATGACGATGATGATCAAAACTAGAAAATGGGCATAATATGAAGTGACAAGGGGCATCGACGGAGGAGGAAGAGGAGATGCTTAAATCCGAGAAGGCGATGCCTACAAAGCCAAGACATCGGTGAAGACGATGGTTATGCTGGCTCGTCAATGAGAATATTTTCGCCGTTCTTTTACGACTACATCAAAATATGCAATATGACCTGTAATTTCCATGCGAACCAGCGAGGAAGCTTTTTGTCTTCTTTCTCTCTCTTGTCTCTTTACTGTGACAAAGGTATCTAAGAGTAGACAACTCAATGTTCGAATTTCGAACCTTTCGTACGATTACGCGCCAAGGGAGTGTAACGGTATAATCTAACTCCTTGAACAAGGATTAGGATATTCGCCCAAACTCTAGTACTAGATCCTAGATTTAGCTCGATCCACCTTCATTGTCATTGCTATGGAGATTTAAAACAGAAAGAAAATTCGGGTTTAGTCGGTGGTTAAAATTTTCCTTATTTTCAACAATCATCGCTGCGTCGTCGGATCATCGGACGCATATTGTGCAAAATACTATGCACTGTCGGGTATTTTATCAAACACTTTGCGTGCACGCACGCACTGTTCATCATTTATATGGAATCGTGTTATCATAATAGTGAATTTTAAATAGATTCAAGACAGTCTAGGAAGGACAATTAACTAAAATCATTATAACATCTTGGGAGAATAATATTTAATTTTTTGAAGTTTGTCATTTAATCACTCATATTTTTTGACATTTAAAATATTACACACATACCTCCTAAAATTTATACGCACATAACACTTAGAATATATATCTGTTAATAAATTACACTTAAACCCTTTTGAAGATTATAGGTTTATAATACTTAGATCGTTTAAGTTTAAAAAATTATACTTAGATAAAAAATACTCTAATCAATGATAGAATATCAAATATTTTAAATTTTACAATCAAAATTCATGTTCTATTGTATTATTTATTGAAATAAAATTAAAATTAAAAATTTAATTTTTTCTTAAAAATTGTAATTAATATACAATTATATTATCTTTTGGAATAAAATTAAGCAATCAAACAAGAGATCTAAGTTATTCATAATAAAACATGAATTTTATAACCAAAATTCATGTTCTATTATGTCATTTATTGAAATAAAATTAAAAATAAAAATCTAGGTTTTTTAAAAAAAATTATAGTTAGTATATAATTATACTATCTATTAAAATAAAACTAAAAAAATAAATAAATAAGGGGTCAAACTGTATAGACATAATATATTTTATCTTTTGGTATTTTAATCTGGTCGTTTAAACGACTAAATTAAATTCCAATAGACAATTTGTATATTAATTACAATTTTTTTTTAAAAAATTGAATTTTTATTTTTGATTTTATTTCAATAAATGATAAAATAAAACATAAACTTTAATTATAAAATTTAAAATATTTGATATTTTATCTTTAATTAAAGTATCTTTAGTCTAAGTATAACATTTTAAATTTAAAGATCTAAATATTATATACCTATAAAATTTAGAGGGGTTTAAATATAATTTATTAATAGATATATTTATATCAGAGATCTAAGTGTTATATTCGTATAAACTTCAAAAATTTTGTGTATAATATTTTAAATGTCAAAAAATTTAAATAATTAAGTGATAAATTTTAAAAAATTCGAGCGTAATTCTCCCTGACATCTTTAATGTGTGAAACTAAACTTGATTGACAGCAAGACAATGAGCACATAGGTAAGACAGGGTGTTTCTTGTTGGGTACATAGGTTTGTTCCCGGGGCCATTCGAAGATCCGCCCTTGGGAATAATTTAATCTAAGTGAGCGCATTGTTATGCGGCTGAGGTAACTTCCTCTCGTTATCATGGCTTCTTCCGAAATAAAAAGAGAAAAATGTAGGACAAATGATTCGGATGATCCGAGGGGTGTTTTTAGGAGTAATCAAGACCCTTTTTTTGGCATGTCACCAACAAAAGTCATTTTGTCCGAGGAAAATAATTTGTCACACTTATGCTTCCTTTGAGAAGAAAGACGAAAAATAAGAAGGATAGAAAGTAGGATAAATATATTTTTTATTTTTTAAAGATGAAAATTAGGAATGATACATTTTTCTTCCTTTGTGTTTGATTAGATGGATGGATGAAAAATAAAAATAATTATTTTTTTTTAATTTTTTTTTTGTGATCACTAAGATTAAGGTTAACAATCGAGTCGTGTCGTGTTAAATTCGTGTTGAGTCATAAAATTATGAGCTTTTTATATTTCTAGTTCGCATGTCAAGTTATTCTCAAGATCGTGTAGAGTTATAATCAAGTCCGTATCATAAAATTTGTGTCGAGTTCGAGTTGTATTATCGTGTTGAGTTGAAAATTTTTACTCCTAATTAAAATAAAATAAATACTTTTTTTTAATTTAAAATATTTTTAAACTTTAAAATTTAAATTTTTTTTAATATATATATATATATTTATTTATTTATATAATAAAGTAGATTACAATTAAAATCTTAAAAGATAAACAAAATGATTTTTGTTAATCGCGGTTGAGATCGCTTTAAGTTTTACTTTAAAATTAATTTAACTACTAATATTAACACCATAAATTTAATAGAAAAAATAGGCTCTTAAGGGTGTGTTTGGAATAACTTTTTAAAAGTACTTCTATAAATTATTTCTCATAAATATTTAAAAAAAAATTGTGTTTGAAACTGCCCCACCATTACCACGACCTCTACCACCACCCCCATCGTCACCACCACCATCACCGCTACCTCCGCCGTCATCACAACCATCACCATCGTCATCATCGCCCTCACCCCCACCATTGTCCCCACTTCGATCGCCACCCCCCCACCCCTACCACTGTCGTCGCCTCCACCATCGTCGCCACCACTACTACCACCATCATCGCCGTCGTCGCCACTACCATCACTATCTCCTACCACCACCTCTCACCTCCACTACAAACTGATACTTAAATTTTTTTATCTCTTCTCTATGTTTGTGATTTGATTCTGGATATGAATACAAATATATTTATTGTTTATAATTTTTTATTACTCTGTGTCTTCAAGCACATGCAATAACTATTATATATATATATATATATATATATATATATTTATTTATCATTATATTTTTATATGAATTAATTTATACATAATATATATAGACAAATAAAATACATCTCAACACAAATAATAAATTTTTTATTCATTTTCTTTCCGATTTTGGAGGGATTAATTTTGGTGAGTTAGAAGGAAAGTTAATTCATCCACTTTTTCATCCTTCCTACTTTCCTTCTTTACCAAAAATGATGTTTTATCTATCCCTCTAATTTTTCATCTTTTCATTTTTCATCGTACCAAACGAAACAGTATACTCCGTTTGATAGGAAGGATGAAAAATAAAAAGTATGAAAAGTAAAAGGGATACACTTTCTATTTTATGATAGAAAATATAAATTATACACTTTATTTCTTTTATTTTTGGTTAGATGGATGAAAAATAAAAATTACTAATTTTTTTTACGTTGACTAAGATTAAGGATGACAATCGAGTTGTGTCGTGTCAAATTCGTGTTGAGTCATAAAATTATGAATTTTTTATATTTTTTATTCGTGTGTCAGATAATTTTCAAGTTCGTGTCAAGTTATTATAAAATTCGTGTTGAGTTGAAAATTTTTGTTTCTAGTTAAGATGAAAAATATATCTCTTTTAATTTAAAATTTTTATTTTAAATATATATTTTATCATGGTATTTTTATATAAAATTAATATATACATAATATATAGACAAATAAGATACATCTCAACAAAAATAATTAATGCTCTGTTTGGTATGATGGAAAAATAGAAGGATAAAAAGTTGGAATGATAGAAAGTTAGAAAAATAAATAAAATATCATGTTTGATAAGGAAGGATGAAAAAGTGAATAAATTAACTTTTTTTTCAATTCACCAAAATCAATCCCTCCAAAATCGGAAAGAAAATAGATGACAAATTAATTATTTGTGTTGAGATGTATCTTATTTGTTATATGTTATGTATATATTAATTTCATATAAAAATACAATGATAAAATATGTATTTATATATATATTTATTAAAAAAATTAAAAATAAATTTAAAATTAAAAATTAAAATTTAAAAAATATTTTTTTCATCTTAACTAAGAGTGAAAATTTTTGACTCAATACGATAACACGACTCGAACTCGACACGAATTTTATGACATAAATTTGATTATAACTCAATACAAACTTGAAAATGACCTGATACGCAAACAAAAAAAATATAAAAGACTCATAATTTTATGATTCAATACGAATCTAACACGACATGACTTGATTGTCACCCTTAATCTTAGTTAGCACAAAAAAAAAATTTAATCACTTTTATTTTTCATCTATTCGATCAAATACAAAGGAAGGAATGCATATCATTTCTACTTTTCATCCTTGAAGGATAAAAAATGTATCTCTCTTACTTTCCATCCTTCTACTTTTCATACTTCATACTTTTCATTCTTCCTACCAAATGGAGCATAACTTTTCATCAACTTTTTTTCTGATTTTGAAGGGATTGATTTTGGTGAGTTGAAAGAAAAATTAATTCATCTACTTTTCCATCTTTCCTATTTTCCTTACTTACCAAACATGATATTTTATTTATTTCTCAATTTTCTATCATTCCATTTTTTTATCGTACCAAACAGAGCATTATGCAAAAATAATTTATATTTATTATAATTCAGATCGAGTCAATTCGGTTCATAAGTTGAAATTACTAAAAACTCAGTGAAATATTCAAGGTCCAGACTGGCCGCTGCCTAAATGGGAGATCGGAGCAACAGGGAACGCCTAGATGACGTTTTTCTTCCTGGGCTGCAGTAAGTAGATCAAAAGGTCGTTTCGCCCCTTGTCCCCGAAAATGGGTAGTATTTTCTCATACAATCTTACTCCAATCTGACCTAGCTGGCGAGCGATCCCAATTCACGACAGAGAACAAGACAACAAGCGAGCATACCTTTGTTCACTTCTTCTCCACCAAGCACGGAAGTTTAAGGATAACTGTAGGTCGGTGGCTACCTAAGGAAACTCCGATTCGATCCGCCCCCTGGCTGGGAGGCATCTACCTCATCCCGATCACAAGGAGAGGTTCACTATGATGGGGGGTACTTTTGATTTCCCTTCCGGAAAGAATGAAATGCATAGGGGACCATCCTTTTGTTGNAGGGGGCCGTCAGATTCATTTGTTGGCCATTAATTATAAATTAAATTATAGTGAAAATTGGAAGTGAGTCTCCCTAAATGTACTTGTTTGGAAATAAGTCCTACAAAAAAACTTATAAGAGGTTAAGTCCACGTTTAAAATTATATGTAATGACTTAAATCCATTTTTTTTTTATCTCAAAAATACCTTTCGTTAAAAGAAAGTTAATTTTTTCTCTCTCATATCTATCTATATCCATATATAGGTTAAGAGTTTGATTAACATTAAAATTTTTCCTCTCTTTATCTATATATTTATAGTAACATTAAAAAAAAAATAGTAACATTCAAATAAAAAAGAAAAATTACTATGAATTTAAATAGTAAAATTCAAATTTATGTTACTATTTTTTTATTATGTTATTGTTAATGTTACTGTTTTTATTGAGTATGTTATTGTTCATGTACTATTTTTTGCGAGCATGTTACTGTTTTTGTTGACTATATTACTATTATTATTTTCCTAAATATTAATATTCAATATTACTATTTTTTTTTGAATATTACTATTTTTTGTATTTGAATGCTACTATTTTTTGCGTTTGAATTTGAGGGAAATAATTATTGTTAAATATGTTACAGTTTTTGTTAAGTATGTTACTATTTTTGTTGAACATGTTAATATTTTTGTTGAATATTTTACTTTTATTATTTTTTAAAAATATTAATATTAAATGTTTCAATTTCTTTTATGTTTAAATGTTACTATTTTTTTGTGTTTAAATGTATTATTTTTTGTGTCCAAATGATAACTTTGTTTTGTATTTGAATGTTATCATTTTTTATTTTTAATGTTACTATATATATACACACACACATATATATAACCTATATATAGATAGATAAGAGAGAGGAAAAATTTTAATACAAGTTAAACTCTTGACACAAAAACCCAATTTTAATATTAATGTCAATAAACAACGCATCGGGCAAGTATCACTAAAGATTTTGACACAAAAACCCAATTATACACAAGTATGAAGTACAAGAAGGTACACTTCTTTTACGCACAAAAACAAGCAGAAAGAAAATATCATATTATCATACACCAAGTCAAAGCAAAACGTTCATTAGAAGTAATAGAATGAAAACAGTGGCACAAGTGTATTTCCTGGATGTTTAGATGAACTGATTGAGGTATTCATCCGCAGTGGTGTATTTCACATCTGGATAGAGCTCAGTAGCCTCTACACCAAAAGAAGCTTCAATCTCAAAGGTTGTAGCATCTCCTTTTACGAAAATAAAATGGAAGATTGACAAAAGGAAGTTCGCTGGAGCCTCTGCACCAAAAGCATTAGTACAAAGATCACAGAGGGGTCTTTCCAATCTCATTGAAAATATATTTCATGATTGAAAATTGATATAGAACTGTGATGAAAATAGTTGTTACTCACCTTGGATGTTCTTGAGTAGTTGATTCTCTAGGATGTATGTCTTCTCAAGGGTCTTGCCAATCTTGTTCTCCCAAAGGGAAACCATCTCATTGAAGGACAATGTGTTTGCAGGGGGTATCATGTAAAGGATCTTATTCATGGTTCTTGGGTCGTCTACAGCTTTGATGGTGTATGTGGCTATGTCTTCTTCCTTGACAAAAATTGCTTCAAGATGGAAAAGGAAAATGCTGTTAATCCATCTGAAAACAGTTAGTCTATACGTATCTGATTGTTAAACCACCAACTTATCTAGTACTTTTTTCTTGTGTTTTTTTCTTTTTGAGTGGTTCATCTAGATCATTGCATAGTCTAGTAAAGGGAGGAGCCACCGGTGTGATTTGGACCAAGGACTATTAATCTTTGATACCATATCAATAACCAACTATTTCAAAGGGCTATCATACCGTCGATGGTACAGTATCGAAAGCTACAACTTTTTAATGTTAAGTTACAACTTTTTTGAGTGTAAGTTATAACTTTTAAAGGGTATTATTGATCATGGGAGATGAGATTAATATCGAAATTACAACTTTCAAAAATTAGGTTATAATTTTTAAAAGTCAACTTACAATTCATAAAGAAGAAATTATACTGTCTAAGGAAAGTCCATGATTAATCATAAATCATGGGCTTTCCCTTGAACAGTTGTAACATCTCCTTTCAAATATGTAATCTTACCATAAAAAATTCTAATTAGCAGTACAATACAATTTTTCTTTTTTGGGTACTGTAGAGTTTGCCTATTTGAAATGTTTAAATTGACAGAACTGACTTGTAGACTTGTAGAAATCTTTTAATTATCAAAGTATTGTCAACGAAACGCTCAAAAAAAAAAGAATTTGATAAATACATATGTTACGCCCTCTCCTGCAGGTAGAACTTTTAGAAGGTAAAACTGCCATCTGAGACTACAAAACAAAACTTTCTAAAGGAGTGTTGTAATGTTGTTCATTACCTTTGGGATTTCCATCTCCAATAATGACTACTTTATCTGTAGGAGGACTGGTTGCATTCAAATGTAATTGTCCCATTGTAGGAAGACAGTAGCCAGCAAAGCCATTGGATACCACATAAGTATAAGGAATCCCTTGGGCCTCAATACTCCCCCGGATCTGGGCCTTGACCCGAAACACGCTTGCGGCTGGCTCAACTGCATGGATACGGTCCACATCTCCCCCAAATTCTGAAGGTAGGAATCTCTGAAACTCACCATATTTTACTGTTAGAAACTGTGTTATTGCAAGATTTATAGGGTTTTATTCAGTTAGTTAGAATGAGGTCGAGCCCAATTTTATAGCAATATGAGTCGAGTTTGAACAAAATTCTCTTTAGAAATTTGATCTTAAACACGAGTGAAGACTCGAGCACTAGCACTAGCACTAGCACTAGCACTAGCATGAGCAAAGAAAACAATTAACGGATTGATTAATCTCTCCTTGTCATGAGCCGAAACCAAGCCCGAGTTTCTTTTACAAAAAAATGAGTTGAGTTCGAATAATCATGAACTCGGCTAGGTTCATTTCATTGGCAGGTCCATAGAGATTATTGAGAATAAGTTGAGCAAATTGCTTGCCTTGACATTTCCGGCCTCTTTAATGGCGGCTATGATTTTATCTTGATCGGAGGACTGTGACGTTCCTACTGCGGAGATCACTACATCAACTTGTTTGATTGCACCAACCAAACTCTCATGATTATAGATCTCCCCCTAATAATCAACAACTCAAGATTAGACAAAATTAAAAAAAAAAAAAGAAATTTAGAAAAAAGAAAAAATTGTTTCCTAAACACATACATAGATCAATTTAGCACCAGAGGTCTTGAAGCTCTCTAGGATTTTTGACTTGTCAGGATTTGATACTGTGCTCTCTCTAACTAGTACAAAAGTTGGGTGCCCGGCTTTTGCGCTCGCCTCCACGATGAATTTTCCGATATAACCAGTCCCTCCGATGATTAAAATCCTGCTTTTCTCTGCCATGGGAGATGAATCTCCTGCGAGTTGCTAGGAAGGGAATAAGGTTTGCTGGTGGGTTTAGCAGAGAAGGTGAAGTAATGTAATGTGAAGCACTTGGTACCATTTTTGGGGGGACTATATATACAAATCCAGTAAGTTGATGTTACAGAAATGCCCTTTTTTATTTTATGAAGTTATTTGGAGTCCGATAAATATTTTTAATTTTTGGATTGAATATAGAGAGATAACAAGTGCTTATCCATTTATGTGATCTTTGAAATTATAATTGTCTACTACTTATAATCGGTGACGTAATTCGAAAAAATCGTAGTGAGTACGATGTTTTAGAAAATTTCCTCAACCACCACTCACCTTTCAAATAAAAATTGTTCTGCCCAATTTGCATGGTGTCATCAGTGACGCACATTATAGGAGTTAGTGTTCAAATTAATGCTAAAAATTTCCAGGTTTCTGACCACCCGGGCACCAAAGAGTGTTCCAACAAGTTAGTAGGTTTGATCACAATAGGGCCTCAAATTCTGGTTTTTGTTATACGTGAATGGATGAAGAAGTCGTTGTATATGACATGATAACCATGAAGATCTTTGGTGCATCATCACTTTTATTACTTACCGATTTACAAAACATATTGCAAATAATGGATTGTTCAATATTATTAGGTTTAAAAGACAATGGACAAGTCAGACATAACATAAACGAAGTAGAATGCGGTGCAAAGAANGTAACGTAAACGAAGTAGAATGCGGTGCAAAGAAGAGAGAGACGTAGTACCCTAGGGCGGCGCGACTGGTTACGGGTATATTATAAATTTCTAATGTATATGTAATATATGAGTTTTATCATATCAGCACTCCTATTGGTATTAGGTTCAAGTGATTGCCCGAGATTAGAGGTATTCAAGTAACGCCTATAAATGGGTTGTAACGCATACATATATTGAAATGCTCCGAGACATATTTATTTCTTCTTAATTTTCTATGATGGTAAGTCACCAATTGTTTATTAGCGAACCATCCTATCATATATTATTAGTAAGGTGCACAAAAATCAGAAAATTCGACTCCACTTCGACGAAATTGGTGTTGAATAGTAAGCTCAAACTCCGAACATAGTTGAAGTTGGAATTAGAGTCTGAAATTCTTTCCGAAAAAACTCCAATTTTGACTTTTCTTAATAAATAATTTTATATGAAAATTTATAATAAGATAGGTCTCTATCTCATGTACCTACCAGTAGTATGTTAGAAACTGACGCAAATCCCCAAAAAAATTGGTCCAAATCCCATCCAAAAGTGACCCAAATCCCATTTATAGTTTTCTGTTTTTTGTTTTTTTAAAAAAAAGGCATAAGAAAGCATAACAGAAATTTGTTCAAATCTGATACAACTCTAAAACTCCGCCTCCAAGTCCAACAAGGCAGAGTCAGAGGCGAAGTTGTAGTAGATCGGATTCGTAGGGCAAAATGGTGGATATACCTTAATTTAGGAAACCTATTATTTAATAAAATAGATTCAAAAAATTAAGAAACTGTCAAATCTAATATGCATGAATTAAAATCAAGGTAATTACGTAATACAAAATTAAAAAAACTATAAATTTGCACTGATCACCAAATATTTAGGAGTATGTGAACTTCTAATAACCAAAAAGTTTGACTTACATACTTTAAGATAAATAAATTCCGTCCAGAGTAGTTAACCCTACTATTTTTTGTGGACTTTTGGGGTGCAATCAAGGTAGCATAAACAAATGGTTTCCTATGGGAATCAGAAACCTGGAACTTTTTAGCATTATTTTCAACACTAAAATTCCTATAACGTTCGTCACCGACGGCACCATGCCAAATGGACTGAATTTTTTTTTTTATTATTCGAAAGGTGGGTGGTAGCAAAGAATATTTTTTAAATGGGGCCGCGCCAGTAGCTAGCGAATAAAGATGTGAATTTTAGTTGATAAATTTTTTAAATTGAATGAATCNTTTGATAAATTTCTTAAATTGAATGAATCATTTCATACATACGCGAGTTTTTAATGTTGATGTGAATGTGAATACTTTTATATAGCATTTAAATCTATAGTTTAACTTTTATGCGAATAATTTGAGTGGATGATATATTTTTTTTTATTTTTTCATTTTCTTCATTTTTTAGGTGCAACAAACAATCAAAACAAGGCAAGACAAAACGAACATAGAAAGAAAAGAAGTGAGTAGACAGCTTTATCCTTGGGGATAATGATTCTTGATGATGCACAAATTGATTTTATGCAAAATCAACAATCTAGTATATCAAGAGACACAATTAATGAACAGTAAATAGACAATCAATGACAAAATTGTAAATAAAGAATCAACACAAATATTTATAGTGGTTCAGTTCGGTGACCTACTCTACTCTCAGGAACGGCAGTGGTGGCCGGAGATGTTTATTAATGAATAAAAGTCATTAAGAGAGTATACTCTGGAAGAATTACAGTGTTTTGGGAGAAAGAGACNGTGGCCGGAGATGTTTATTAATGAATAAAAGTCATTAAGAGAGTATACTCTGGAAGAATTACAGTGTTTTGGGAGAAAGAGACTTGGTGTGTAGAGAGATCTTAAAGGTTATGCCCTTTATGTGAGGAGGACTTATATTATATACGTTTGGTGAGACGGTCACTACTTTTTAGTAAGTACAGTTATGGTAAGATTAGATCTTCGTGCGTATCCCGATATTCTCTCCTCGTGCTTCTATTCAGCCGGAGGAAAATCATGGACTTGGACTTGAGTTGGTGGGTGTTGGACAAGAGTCAAAAGGGCGAAGGACTCCACACAATTGCACGGGAGAGGGAGCATGACACAAATAAGAGAAAAGATTCCCTTGGGGTGGCTCCTCTTGGACTCGTCCTTGACTTTGACTTTCCTAAATTTAGGCTCTTTCTTGACTAATTGACTTGTTGACTTGGACTCCAAAATGACATGATTCCCTTTTGATTAATTAAGCTTAACCCAATTACTTTTGGGTTCGTCAATTCCAAAGCTCAGGCTCGCCATATATCACATGATTGGATGAGCACACCTTATACCTCTACATTCAACTAAAAAACTAAAAATATTTCTTGGACTGCAAATAACTACATAAAATAAAAAAGGGCATTTTTGTAACATCAACTTGCTGGGATTTGTATATATAACCCCCCAAAGTTGGTACCAAGTGCTTGACATGAACATTACTTCACCTTCTCTTCTAAACCCACCATAAACCTTATTCTTTTCCTACCAACTCTCTGGCAATCTTCCATGGCAGAGAAAAGCAGGATTTTAATCATTGGAGGGACCGGTTATATCGGAAAATTTATCGTGGAGGCGAGCGCAAAATCCGGGCACCAAACTTTTGTACTAGGTTAGAGAGAACACAGTATCAAATCCTGACAAGTCAAAAATCCTAGAGACCTTCAAGACCTCTGGTGCTAAATTGATCTATGTATGTGGTTAGGATATAAGATTTTTATTTTTATTTTTATTTTTATTTTCTGAATTTCTTCTGTTTTTTCTTTTTTTCTAATCTTGAACTGTTGATTATTAGGGAGATATCTATAATCATGAGAGTTTGGTTGGTGCAATCAAGCAAGTTGATGTGGTGATCTCTACGGTAGGAACGTCATAGTTGTCCGATCAGAATAAAATCGTAACCGCCATTAAAGAGACTGGAAATGTCAAGGCAAGCAATTTGCTCAACATATCAACTTTGTTGTGATTGTTCTGGCTCGGCTTGTGACATGTATAGATTAGTCCACTCGTTAATTGTTTTCTTAGCTCGAGTTTGCGCTCATGCTCGAGTCTTTTAAGATCAAACTTACCTCATTTATTTATACAAGTAATCTGTACGAACAGTAAAAAGTAGGGTTTACAAACGTCCTATAGCAAGCAGTCACGGCAGTTTTTGAATTAAAAATTTTGCCAATTATTTGCAATCCTAGTCTCTCTGTAAATCTTGCAATAAACAGTTTCTAACAGTGAAATAGGGGTGAATTACAGAGATTCCTACCTTCAGAATTTGGGTCAGATCCGGACCATATCCATGCAGTTGAGCCAGCCGCAAGCATGTATGGGGTCAAAGCTCAGATCCGAAGGATTACTGAGGCTGGAGAAATTCCTTACACTTATCTGGTATCCAATGGCTTTGCTGGCTACTTTCCTCCTACCATGGGACAATTACATTTGAATACAACCTCTCCTCCTAGAGATAAAGTAGTCATTCTTGGAGATGAAAATCCCAAAGGTAATGTTACTCTCTAGAAATTTAAACTGTAAGAGAGGATGTAACGTAAGTATTTATTTAATTCTTTCCTTCTTGAGTGCTCGTCTGCAAAAAAACTTTTAGGCGAGTTGGTGCTTTGGCATGATATTAGATCAGAAAGTTCTACGTTAGAATCTAGACACGATTTTGATTAATAAAAGGTTTTCATTAGTCTACAAATCAACGGTCATGCTAGAGTATATTAAAATTACGCCCAATTTATCAATTTAAACTTTTTGGGTAATTGACTCTTAATATGGTATCAGAGACTAACTGTTTTTAAGTTCAAATTACATCAACGACTCATCTCTTTATGACACTATACAATCACGTAGATAGACCACCCAAAAAATCCACACATAAAAGAAAAGTACGAGATATAAGTTTGTTTATCAGTAAGATATGTAGAGTAATTGGTTTCAGATAGATTAACAGCATTTTCCTTTTCCATGTTGAAGCAATTTTTGTCAGGGAAGAAGATATAGGCACATACACCATCAAAGCTGTAGAAGACCCACGAACCCTAAACAAGATCCTTTACATGAGACCCCCTGCCAACATACTGTTTTATAATGAGTTGGTTTCCTTGTGGGAGAACAAGATTGGCAATACCCTTGAGAAGACATATGTCCTGGAGGATCAACTTCTCAAGAACGTCCAAGGTGAGAGTAACAACTGTTTTCATCAGAGTTCTATATCAATTTTCAATCATATATGAAAATACTAGGGGTAATCCGTACATGGTGCAATGTGAATGATTCTGAAAGGGATGTTGATAGTCGTTGGATGAGTCTATTTAAGACCGTCGGATAGACTTATTAAAGTCTATCCTATTTTATATTATAGATATTTCCGATGACATTGTGTTGATTCCCACCTACCTAGAGTTGTTTTTATTTCGTGTTATTACACGTGTTAACTTTATTGAAACTAATTTTTAATGTGATAGTTGAAAAAAATAAAGGGTAAAATACAATTTTAGTCCCCAAAGTGTACTTTTAGTGTTTATTTGGTTTCAATTGTGTCTATTTGATTCTTAAAGTTCCTAATTTGTATTTACGTGGTCCAATCCCAAACGTCCGTTAAAAAATCATGATGGTTCTAATCATGCGTCAATCATGTAGTTCTAAATTTTGTGTCTACTTGATCCTTAAAGTTCTTAATTTGTGTTTATTTGGTTTCACGTGATTAGCGCATGACCAGGGACATTAGCGCTTTTTTGATAGGCATTTGGAATTGGATCACATAAATACAAATTAGGAACTTTAAAGATCAAATAGATGCAATTAGAAGATTATGGACTAAATAGACACTACACGCATATTTTGGGGCTAAAAATGTATTTTACCCCCAAAAAAACTAAAGTTTTAATAGAAAATATGACCTTTAATAATTAATATAGTACAATGGAGATGTAGGATTTATGTTTATGCCTTTCGTGCAGAGGCTCCACCCTTCTTAAGCCTCCTTTTGACAATCTTCCATTCTATTTTCGTAAAAGGAAATGCTACAAAATTCGAGATTGAAGCTTCTTTTGGTGTAGAGGCTACTGAGCTCTATCCAGATGTGAAATACGCCACTGTGGATGAATACCTCAATCAGTTCATCTGAAGATTCAGCAAATACACTTGTGCTACTGTTTTCATTTCTATCAGTTGTATTGAGCATTTTACTTTGACTTTGGTGTACTTCACACTTGTGTACACTTAGAGTTAGCATGACAAAATCTTCAACGATACTAGCTCGACGATGGCTTTCGAATTGTGATTTAAGCAACACATGAAATAGATCACATACCCGAATGTGAAAAAGAAAATGAAACGGATCAAACAGCTAGCCCATGGTATATAAGCAAGTGTCCAAAACCTTAATCATCCCCATAATAAAAGTAAAATCTGTAATTATACAAAAATTACCAAAAATAAAAAAGATTACATTCTAACTAATCTATACTACTTTAAAATGTTACTATACTTGAAAAACATTTTTTTTCCCAATTGTACCCTTTAACAATGAAAATATTACATTCTTACTTTTTATTATTGATGTTTAATCTTTTTTTTAATGACAATCTAAAATCAAGTTTAACCGTTCAAATTGTTAAACCCGACAAATTCTGCAATAAGTACTCATCCTCTCTTAAAGCCTGCAACCTTCTCTCCCATGTCAATTATGGTCTCAATGGCTCTCCCTCTCCGTTATGAAAACAAGAACTTAGAAGGAAATAATTATGAGGCCGTGGTTTATGCAGCGAACCTTTAGTTTTCACGTTGCACTCCAAGCACTCTAACATAAATTAACTTCACTTGTTGATTTATTGTGATCTTTTTTTTTCGCTTTATGATTTTGGCCCTTTTCTTCTTAATTCAATATTCAATTTAACAGTTTTCAAGTGTTAAGTTTTGATTTTGTTCTATTTCTTGAACAAAATAAATCATCTATGTACTCTACATATACTTCACCTTCCATTATTTCTTGAGTTTGTTCTTGTTTTATTTCTCTGTCCTACTTTTTCAAACAAATGATTGAATAATAATAAATACATTAATTACTAGATTAATTATTCTATTTAATTACCTACAATATGATTAAGTCATTTTAATCCCTCCACAATAATAATGCACCATCCTTTTATCTCTCTCCATGTACATTTAATGGGGTTTGATTCTATACTTCTTTTCTAAATTTTCTCTTTCTTGTATCCATATATTAGAAATCTCCCTTTTTTTTCCTGATATCTATTTGGAGGATATAACCGATTTACTTTTTCATTTTGTGTTGTGAATTAATTTGAGTTGATTTTTCAAATAAAGATCATTTAATTTGTTTATTGAAGTTTTATTCAAAGAGAATGAAAAACGGATTCGAGAACCAATTGATCTTAGATTCAACCATGGACGAATCTCTAATGGAGAGAGGATTCACTATAGTTAACTAAATTTTAGTAGATAATACTATTAAAAATGCACTCCTTCATCTTCTCTCTCTTTGTTTTTTTATTACTGGAAATGCACCACTTCATTTCTCTCTATCATGTACTTAACGATCGGCTTTCATCTAATAAACAACACATATGAAAAATGTGATAAAATTCTTGGTGTTCTTAATACAATGATGTAGGTTTGACAATAGATGGCTTCAGAAGAATCTTGAAATAGTCCATGAGCAACGCAATGTGCACCAACTAGTTAACATAAAAGTACGTGTCATTTGAAGTTTGATCCAACCTACAGCACTGAATTCAAAATTTCTTATAATTTATTATTAATTTTTGAATTATTTCTTAAAACGGCAAAAACAGAATTTTGATGACCTAAACAGTAAAATTCTACCCAAAACTAAAAGAGCTTATAGCAAAACGATGAGTGTTGATCGTTGGCCCAATCCAAATCAAATACCACTTGTCTTAATTAATTCTAGGTCTGGGCCATTTTGCATCTATTATCACTTTTTTGCTTTTATTTGAACCTTGGACGCATGACGATCTTCCTGCTCCAAATAGTCAGCAGCCACTTGTTCAACATCAAATATCTCCCTAATCATCAACTTAGAGATAAAAACAGCCGTTGCTATTTGAAAAGAATAACGAAAGTTAAAAAGAAATTCAAATTTTCTTTTTGCCGAGCTTGATTTAGTATAGATATCTCTACTATAATTTTTTTTTAAAAGAAGAAAAACTCAAATTTAAATAAAAATAAGCCCAAATTTAAAAAAAAAATGATAAAATATGATGATTGAATCTTTAAAAAATAATAAAATCTCTCGATTAAAATTTTGGGTATAAATTTAAGTCTCTTTTTATTTGAGTTAAAAAAAATTCTTTTTCATTTGATATACGTATGAGTCTAATATTGGAGACAATTTTTAAAATTTTTTTACCTTAATTTAAATTTGAGTTTAACAAAGGGTAAAGACCGAAAATACTTTTATATAAATCAAGGAAAATGCTATGTTTACCAAAAAATTTTATCAAATCTTCCATATTAAATGATGTGGCATAATCTCCATCAATGAATATTAATGAAACCCATCTATCTGATGGTAAAAAAATATATCACATCATTTGTGATGAAAATTTAATATGATTTTTGCGTTAGTTTTCGTTGCTTATTCTGTCAAAAATTACATAATTGACATTGATTAAATAAATAATAGGTTGAGGATACAAATTAAAAATTCTTAAATATTTCTGAGTATAAAATACAATTTGCTCTAATTAAATTGTCTCTTTGTGGAACAAGCCAATATGACTGAAGGTGCCATGGCATCTGACCTACCCAAAGCAATCCATCCTAGTCAAATGATGGGAAGATGTAGAATATATGCACAAAATTCACTAGTTTTCATCTCATAACCATGAAGAACTTTGGTGCACCATCACTTCTATTACATTGCGATTTGCCGGAACCGATTCAAGAACTTAGCCGTGGAGACAAAAAAAGAATATAAGTATGGCTTTTAAATTTATCAAACAGTTGGGGAGGGATAAGAGAATGGAGAGGGAAACTAGATAGTTTTTGGGGTATTCCATAATTGTTAACGGTGGCAGAGTCATGTTATGGCGCCCCTCAACTTTTTGAAATTATACATTATACCTTAAAAATTATATTTTGATCATGTTTTATAAATCACTCAAATTCTTATACATAATCTTGATTTTATTTTATCCTCTCGACTATTGATTAGAGACCACGTTAAACCATTAACTATTAAAATTATGACATTTTGTATGAATAGTTAAATTTGGTATTATATAAATTTGTAAATTTTAGACTATTTTAAATTATTAGTGGTGAAATTAATTTGACTTTTACATCTAATAATTCAACTAGTTTCGATTAACATTATTCATTTTATTGAAAATAATAGTTATACTATACCATGTGAAATTGATTTTTATATATTTTTATGCATATAAATGTCGTAACATTAACAATCTAATTGAATGATCTACATTAAATAAAAATACATTATCATACCACTATTTAACCCGGGGGCGGAGCCACCCTTGGGCTAGGGTGGGCACATTCCCCTCCCCCCCCTCAAATTTTTTTTTTTCACATTAGACTTATATTTTTTAAAATAAAATGTAAACATATTTAATTGTGTTCTGCTGATATAGATTTGAATAAACCTTTACCTAAATGATTGTTAATTTTTTTAATAATATTATTGAGACCTAATTTAAGAACCTAATGCATTGTGATATTATGTCAAATAGTGAATCTTAATATTTAATAAACTCCACTATATATCCGATAGTTACAAACCATCATGTCCTCACCAATGAAATCTTAAATTTGGTACAACTGATATTATTATTTACTTTTAAACATGTTTTAGACATGTTTTGAACACAATGAGGTTATTTTATAATTTTTTAAAATTATAAAGTTATTGTATAAAAACACGTGTCGTTACGTAATAAATTATAGGGTTAATCTCATTTTGCACCCTTAAAGATTGTTCAAATCTCAATTTGCACCCCCAAAGATCAAAATTTGTATCAATGTGCATCCCCAAAGATAAAAAATCTCAATTTGCACCCTCAAAGATAGAAATTTGTATCAATGTGCACCTAAAATTAAATTAATAAATTATACATAGATCCCCTCATGTTTGTCACTTAATCATTTGAACTCCTTTACATTTAGAATATTTTCCTTACATCTCATGACGTTTGTGCATGTGTAACACATAACCATTTTTCGTTGATATCTGTTAATATAATCGTTAAAAAATATAATTTTATCCTAATAAAAAATTATAATTTCATATTACCTTTTATTTTGTGGATTCGATATACTCTAAAGTTGAAAATCAAACTTACCATTTGAATGTCTAATAANTTATATATATATATATATATATATATATATATATATATATAATATTATTAATTTGATTAATTTATAACTCTTTCAAATAATAAAAACATACCAAAGTCAATTGTGAGTGACAATAGTTAGTTTCATTTTTTGTAAGAAATTTTAAGTATTTTTTTTTGTCCATATTATGCATATCAATTTTTAATCTTTTATGTTTATTGAACTTTTAAGTATTAAATATAATTTCAATATCTATGAATTTATGAACTTCTACAGTCAATTAAAAAAAAATTAAACATACCAATGTATCCACCCTAAAAAAAAATTCTGGCCCCGCCCCTGATTTGACCCCTCTCAAGACGAAATCCTCCGCCCCTGACCCTCTGAGCCCCTTTGAGATTTATGGTTGAAGTTTGGAAGATTGGTAGAACTAAATCTTTCTCATATTTCATCATTTTGCTTCCAACAATCAAGAGCTGTAGTTAATCAGTATACAATTTAATGGCAAAGGTAAACCTCAAAGCAGATGTGAGGCTGACTGGAATCGCAACATGTTCATAGAGTTTGGAGAGAGGATGTAGATTTCAGAGTTGACAACCAATCCAGTAAAGCTTTATTGACAAGCTCTGGAACTTCGTCATGTGGACAATGCCCTGCCTGTAGGTTAACAAGGGAAGTATTTGGATAGAACTCCTTGATTCGAAGAGCCTTGGCAGGACCAACCCAAGGGTCCAAGTCACCCCATACCAACAACAGTGGGCAAGAGAGCTCGCTCAAGACGCTGTCAAGTGTGTATTTTCTCTGATTCATCATGAATCGAGTCATTAATCTGTAGATAAACAAAATGGCATGTTAATTTCATAATCATCACAATATGACCAAAAAAAAAAAAAATGAAGTATGATGCAGCAACCGTGTTAAGAGGCTTTTTAGGAAAAAAAAAACATGAGAATATAACAGTGCATGTTCATTATATGATCTTGGTATGCCTAAGGAAATCTAACCAGCATTTTTTGCTGTTTGAATCACCACATATACAATGCTGAACCAATTCAGGCACAACTCATTCAGCGGCTGTTCACACAGCTCATAATAGGTCTTCTTTTGAAGGTTCAACGGTTCCCAATTTTGAAAATGATTCCAGATTCTTGGCACAAAAAAAATTGGCAAGAAAAAAGTGTAATGCAACAGTAATCAGCAGGTCTGCTCCATCTACATCCAGAACAAAGATTATCACTCATAATCAGGAGTAGTTTTGTACTCAAAATGTTCGTGCTCCAGCTGAAGCAAATGTGGGGAATGCTCGTTTACAGGCAGAATGAAGGAAAACATCACCATGGCTACTACAACTATAATACCTGTAATAAACTTCTCCTGCATTTGGGTCAGCTGCTGGCCTGGTTATTGAATCCACTAGATAATCATCCACATTGGAAGTATTTTTATATACCTGATATCAATTAAGATGAAAATGTTTGTCAATTAAAATGTACATGGATTTTGTTAGGGATAATTCGTGCAATAACGTTTGGACAACTGGACTAGATAATAAGTGAATTTGCTTTAGTATAGGATGATGGACGAAATTGACTCCCTCTCTGGGACATCATTTGCTTGACATGCAGATTCGGAGGTCCACCATTCTACTAGTTACACTGGCTGATTCCAAGAAAAAATGTCTCACCCAACACAGGCGGTCTCATCAAAGACCTATCACATATAGAATGGTATAAAAGATTCCCTCAGGGAATAAGATATCTCAGCAATCTTCTGTATTGGTTATTTATCTCCTGGTTAGACCTATTCCATCTTGCCCACTACGGAAAGGTGGGACAGCTGAGGCCCTATGTGTCCACCACATGCACAAGACATGAAGCTTGATGCTTCATAGTCATCTCTGACCACATCCTGACCATGCAAGCAGATTCAGTGATTGTCATGTAGGGGTCCTTCGTACCAGCAGGGAGGACAATTGGACGAGTCTCAGAATAACTGAATCTTGTTTTGTGCTTGCAAATTACCTTTCTAAACTTACAAAGCCTTAAAAGAAAATAAAAAGAAGCTGAATTTTAGGAAAGGACGTGACTCACACTCTTCAATACAGATTCAATGCGAGCTGGTTGCTTGGCTTGCCAGAACAAAAAACTAAGAACTACACGCTGAAAAATTTCCTTCAGTGGCTTTAGGAGGAACTTCTGTAAGACAGTTTCTTCAGTCTCATTGGTTTCACCACTTGCATCTCCAAACTGTCCTGCAGAGTTTAATAATGCTACTCCCACAACTTGCTCCGGCAATGATGTCCCTGTCACCAAAGCAGTAAATCCTCCAAGACTGCAGAAGGCCAAATCATCATCAATTTCAGAGCCACTTCAAAAGAGAATCTCATCAGAACCACACTCAAGATGGGTGATTACTAGCAAACATGAAAAGTGGAGATGCTTTAAGAAAACTGAAAAGTTTTGAAAACCTAGAACCTCATGGACAGATAATGCTAAATGAATACCACAACCAAACAAAATTATCTTCACTTCATAATACGGCAAGGTCAAAGCAGATGCAGTATATTCATTGTGGAAATTAGGGACATCATGGAAAAAGCGGTAGATGAGATTTGGCCATATACATCATAAGCTCGAAAAGAGATCTTGAAGATAGAGATGCTGGCCTATGACTATGATCTAGCAGAAAACAATGCCCTTAAACAGTTTGCCAAGGTGAACACATAGTCTGCACATCAGAAAACATATTTTTAGCATAGGGCTTTCTTACTTTAGTTAAATATTTTATGCTTGCTTCATTATTAAAAACCATTGAATCACACTGACATGTTGATTTCAGAATTTCAGTACTTTTTCTTGCCATACATGTACCATCTACTATTTTTCCATTTGTTTTTATGATGTCTTAAGCAATTTCAATGCCAGTCCTAGCTCTGTCTTCCATTACCATTTATAACTCTTGTCATTATGGGGCCTAGAAAAGGTCAGATGTACACAGTCTCACTCCTTGTATATTCGGAGATTATTTTCGTAACTCGAACTCATGATGCTTAGGTCACAATGGAACAACCATATTACTGTGCCATGACCTGCTCACATATTAGGAAACCTTTAAAATTGGAACAAAAAAAAAATGGAGCTTGTGCTAAATGCATGGACAAAATGGGGATAAAATAACTAGGCACTTATTACCTGTTTCCAACTAAAATTGCAGGTTCTTTCACTATCTCCTTCATGAAATCCACAACCTGATCTCTCCAAACCAAAGCATCATAGTCGATAATTGCCTTCTCACTCCAGCCAAACCCTAGCAAGTCTATAGCATATACCTTGTATTTTTTTGCCAGTTCTGGTATGTTATATCTGAACAAATGCAAAAGATGAAGAACTTCACGAAACGATCAAAGGCCTAAACCTATCAACAATGTCAGTGAATATCTTCAACAGTTGATCAAAGAAAATATTTATTTACTCTTAACAGTGGAAAAAAGGTGAGCTGTGAAGCATAATGAGTACATGGGTGACTGCAAAATTTGTGCAAATTTGACCAAAGGTTAGGTCCTCCTAACTCGGTGATCACATAGTTCTAAGATAGTGATCCATGGATAATGTACTCCATTTCAAGAAAAGTCAGAATCATAAACAACATAAAAGAATCATTTACCATTTTAGACTCTAGAATTAACCAAAATGGATGTTATACTTTTTGTTTCCCAAGAAGAGTGCAAGATATTGCTTTTATAGGATGAGAGAGAGAGACCTCCAATGAAAAGCAGAAGCTCCGAAGCCATGAATAAGAACAACTGGAAGACCTTCTCCTTCTTCTACATAGTGTATCTTGTGCCCTCGCCATGTCCAGAAGTTATAGCCCTCCGACTTAAATGGTAACCTCTCCAAACCTGCAAGACCATCATTTCCATTAAGATTCACATCATGGTAAGTTCTTCATTTCCCGAGAATGGTCAAAAAGGGATATATCACGAAGTGATAGCCTAACACAACAATTAAACAAAAGGAACAACAATAGAATAGTATAGACACCATATGAGTGCATGTGTTCGAACTTGGAAACTCTGGTTGGCTCAGGGTGTTAAATAAGGAAATTTAATACAAAAGCAAGAAGTCTGTCTGGGCAGTGCTATGAGCAACAGCATAATGGTAGACTACTTCACTGCTGCCATGGCCTTTTCCACTCACACTCAATCAAACACAGTTCTAGTTATTTCCAAGTCAAATCTAAGTATTTTATCTTGCAGCAGATAATATGAATGCCAAAGTAATCGCTCCATCCCAAGTTTAATTCTAGCATTCTACAAGTGCCTCAACAATCATCGTGGTGGTTAATTGAATTGCATGTCAATGTCCAAAAAATGTATCAAGCAACTTCTGAGTAATAAATTACGTTAAATTTTCACAAATAAAATCATGGTTTAGTGTGAAGATTTGTAAGACAAAACGATGCAATTATATGCAGAAGTGACTTTGTCTAGCTAATTAACAAAATAAGCACACCATATACATGACTTTGCCCCTAAACCAAGACCTTGAAAGCAAGCCCTTCAGCATTCAAACCACAATGTGAATGCACTACTTGGATGAAATCCACACCACCAATAATTATGCTCTAACTGATCCATCGTTTTTCGAGGTATATTCAATTAGTGAAGTTAGAAAACCATAACTCTAGTTCAACCATTTATGTAAGTAGGATAATATAGCTAAGTAACCTTGCGATGGTTCAGCCACCAAGGAAGAAGCCATAACTGAAGCTCCTGCCGCGACAATTCCTTTCAATGCAAATTCCCTCCTACTCAATTCGCATTTGCTTCCTTCCATTAGAGAGAGATAGATAGATGGAGAGAGATTAAACAAAAAAATCACAGAATGATTGGGAAAAGAAGCTTAGAAACGATAACTTACTGTGATGATGAATCCTTACTGGCACGATAAACCTAGAACCAGTTGGGTTGAAGAACTCTGTTCTCACTGTAGTGGGTACAATAGCACATGAAAGCGACATGGAGTCGCTCAAAAAAACGCTAGATAGATTTGCTTAGAGAGGAAGAAAACGGTGCAGCGAAAAACTGGGAGATTCAAGATTTGTGCTTTGGTACTTGAAGCTTCGGGCTATTGAATTGAATGGTTGGCGTGGGTTTTGAGGATGTGGTAGCTCACAAGCCAAGTGATATTTCTTTCTCGGGTAATTTCAATTTTCATTTGTAAGGTGCAGACATGGGTAAAACCCTAATCTCATCATTTTTCTAAACAATCCAGGCTCTTATGTTCATTCATGTTCCCATTTTATAAANCTCGCTCAAAAAAACGCTAGATAGATTTGCTTAGAGAGGAAGAAAACAGTGCAGCGAAAAACTGGGAGATTCAAGATTTGTGCTTTGGTACTTGAAGCTTCGGGCTATTGACTTGAATGGTTGGCGTGGGTTTTGAGGATGTGGTAGCTCACAAGCCAAGTGATATTTCTTTCCCGGGTAATTTCAATTTTCATTTGTAAGGTGCAGACATGGGTAAAACCCTAATCCCATCATTTTTCTAAACAATCCAGGCTCTTATGTTCATTCATGTTCCCATTTTATAAAATTTATAATTTTAATTTTTTAATTTATAAATTCAACTAATTCATACTTATATACTTATTTATTATTATTAAAATTTTTATTTAAAATATATTACCTAGGAATACATATAAAATTATATATGTATTCACACGAAAAATAAAAATCCACTCTTGCTCTCATTTTTGCCCTCGCTCTTGCTCCCTTCTATGTAATTTAAGATAAAAACTCGTAAAATTTACACCATTCCTTTAAAAAAGAAAAGAAAAATGGTTCATTTCTCTGAGGNCTGCTCCCTTCTATGTACTTTAAGATAAAAACTTGTAAAATTTACACCATTCCTTTAAAAAAGAAAAGAAAAATGGTTCATTTCTCTGAGGTGATCAGCATTGTTTCTAATAAATGTTTTTTGACAAGTCATCTAATATTAACGAGTGAATGATTCATTTATATCAATAAATTTTATTTAAATTCACAATAAATAACCAATCAAGAGAATTTATATATGTTAAACTATGAGGTACATACATGAACTTAAAAAGTAAACTTTATTATCTCAACTATTGAATAGGTAGTGGGTCCCAATAAATACTGAGAGTCACAGTCAAATCAATGGTTGAGATTATCAAGTCTACTACTTTTAAGTTCATGTAGCATTACTCATATATTAATTACAACTCATAAGTACAAACTTAAGTCAATAAATGCACTTATAACATTTTTTAAAAATAAAGAGCAAAGTGGAGAGTAAAAATTTTTAGACACTCCAATAAAAGATCATTACACTGGTGGAAAAATAATTTATGTAGTCATTAGTATTTCACGAAGAATGTATATGTATCATTTTTTTATTTAATAAAAATAAGAGCAATGCTATATATATCAAATTTGTATCCCAAAAATATATCCCAAATCAATAAGGATAGTTGGATCAATGAGTCCCAATTAAAAAAGTTGATGAGACTCATTCATCCAATGATCCTAATTCATTTGGGATACAAATTTATGTTACAAATTTAGATTACATAATATTTTTCTAAAAATAAAGCAGCGAACGAATTTAACCTTTAAATACGGGAGGTTTACATTAGAATCTCTATTTTTAGTAATTCAAACAACAAACTTATTAGAGATGAATCTTTAAGGGATAGATTTTTTAAAGTTATGCATCTCTAATTTAGCAAGTCAATAAAGTTATGCATCTCAAATAAATATATTAAATATTATATGCATTCACTTATACTAATTTGATATATAAAATTTGGTAAATAATTTAGAATTTTAGGAATGTTCTATTAGAAAATGGAAGTTCCACTTGCAATCTTCATTGCCATGACTTTTGTTTTATTTTATACACTTGATATTCCAATGCCGACGAATAATTTACAAGCAATATGGTCATCTTTACAATAAAACAGTCCTGATTTTGATTCTTTAAGTTAGCCTACTATAAGAGTGATTAAGATTCATTCAATCAAATAACTCAAATTTATCCTTAAAAGATTTCTCCATTTTCGTATTAATCAATGTCCTATCTAGTCTTTTAAATTTTATTTCCCAAAAATTTTTCTTGTCTATTTCTATCACATTTCTAATTTATATTACAAGTTGAATCATGTAATTTTTGATTAATTTGTAACCCAATATAATTTTTATTTTAGGCATTGTTCATATATTATAATGTATACATATTGATATTTTTTTTAAATTCTATATTTTGAGAAAAAAAATTTATTTTTTTAAATAATGGGTATAAATTAATTTTAAATCATATAATTAAAAAAGAAAAGAAAAAATGTTACTATTTAATATAATAAATTTAATTTTTTTAGTGTTCAAATTTTATGTTGCATTATACTTTCAAATATAAGTTATGATTATGTCTGTCAATAGATTAGATTTTAACCCAAATTTGTTTAACAAGTATGAATCAGATTTTCCATCAATTATTCTAATCTGATCTAAATTCGATTAGAGTTGTCTAAACGGATTCAGATATAGATTTATAATAATTCGATCCGTTATTAATCCAATTTGAATAAAATAATATATTATATAAATAAATATCATATATATATATATATATATATTATATTTACACTAAAAAATAAGTAAAATTAAAAAGAATATCATAATATAAAACCCACTTTTTCTATTTTCATTTTGTTTTCATCTCTTATATGGTTTTTCCTCTTGCTTCCACTTTAATTTTTTATTTTTCCTCTTTTTTTTTAAGTTCAATATCTAAATTATTATTATTAATTTTTTGGTGTACATATATTTTTTTATGATAATTGAATTGTATCTAATTTTTAAATTAGGTATTCAGAAATCAATGAATTCGCACAAAGATTGAATTTTTTATTGGAATAATCGGTTCGGATCGGATCATAAAAATTTAATCGGATTCCGACTGGCCTAGTCAATCGATAAAAACAAGAGCGACGCTGAGCCTTTGAGCAACACTACACTCGTCATTCTCAAACGGTTCGTAGTTGGCTCGCTTTCGATTGCATGGCCATGGAAGCTTCAACCAAAATCTTCAATGTCTCCAATCGTCAATTCTCTAACTCACTCCTCCTCAGAACCCACCCTCTCAATCTCTCCCCCAAATCCCTTCGATCTCCATTCCCAAATTTGCCTCCAAACTCTCTCTCTCCTCCTCACAATCATTGTTACAATACAATCATTCAGTCAAAGGCCCTTTGTTCCACTTGCATCCATTTCTCGCTTTCACATCCCTCAATCCCTTCTTTTAATTCAACTCCATTAGGGTTCTCTCAATCCCAAATTTTCAATCCTTTAATCTCTAGCAATCGATTCGCTCGTGTCGTATCTGGGTCAAAAGATAAGTCATTTCAGTGGAATTATGCTTTAGAGGGCGTTGATGGAAGAGATTTGGGAATTTTGGGTGATAAGGGACCAATTGTGACGGTTGTGTTGTTGGGTTGGCTCGGAGCGNGTAAGAGTGATTAAGATTCATTCAATCAAATAACTCAAATTTATCCTTAAAAGATTTCTCCATTTTCATATTAATCAATGTCCTATCTAGTCTTTTAAATTTTATTTCCCAAAAATTTTTCTTGTCTATTTCTATCACATTTCTAATTTATATTACAAGTTGAATCATGTAATTTTTGATTAATTTGTAACCCAATATAATTTTTATTTTAGGCATTGTTCATATATTATAATGTATACATATTGATATTTTTTTTAAATTCTATATTTTGAGAAAAAAATTTATTTTTTTAAATAATGGCTATAAATTAATTTTAAATCATATAATTAAAAAAGAAAAGAAAAAATGTTACTATTTAATATAATAAATTTAATTTTTTTAGTGTTCAAATTTTATGTTGCATTATACTTTCAAATATAAGTTATGATTATGTCTGTCAATAGATTAGATTTTAACCCAAATTTGTTTAACAAGTATGAATCAGATTTTCCATCAATTATTCTAATCTGATCTAAATTCGATTAGAGTTGTCTAAACGGATTCAGATATAGATTTATAATAATTCGATCCGTTATTAATCCAATTTGAATAAAATAATATATTATATAAATAAATATCATATATATATATATATATATATTATATTTACACTAAAAAATAAGTAAAATTAAAAAGAATATCATAATATAAAACCCACTTTTTCTATTTTCATTTTGTTTTCATCTCTTATATGGTTTTTCCTCTTGCTTCCACTTTAATTTTTTATTTTTCCTCTTTTTTTTTAAGTTCAATATCTAAATTATTATTATTAATTTTTTGGTGTACATATATTTTTTTATGATAATTGAATTGTATCTAATTTTTAAATTAGGTATTCAGAAATCAATGAATTCGCACAAAGATTGAATTTTTTATTGGAATAATCGGTTCGGATCGGATCATAAAAATTTAATCGGATTCCGACTGGCCTAGTCAATCGATAAAAACAAGAGCGACGCTGAGCCTTTGAGCAACACTACACTCGTCATTCTCAAACGGTTCGTAGTTGGCTCGCTTTCGATTGCATGGCCATGGAAGCTTCAACCAAAATCTTCAATGTCTCCAATCGTCAATTCTCTAACTCACTCCTCCTCAGAACCCACCCTCTCAATCTCTCCCCCAAATCCCTTCGATCTCCATTCCCAAATTTGCCTCCAAACTCTCTCTCTCCTCCTCACAATCATTGTTACAAAACAATCATTCAGTCAAAGGCCCTTTGTTCCACTTGCATCCATTTCTCGCTTTCACATCCCTCAATCCCTTCTTTTAATTCAACTCCATTAGGGTTCTCTCAATCCCAAATTTTCAATCCTTTAATCTCTAGCAATCGATTCGCTCGTGTCGTATCTGGGTCAAAAGATAAGTCATTTCAGTGGAATTATGCTTTAGAGGGCGTTGATGGAAGAGATTTGGGAATTTTGGGTGATAAGGGACCAATTGTGACGGTTGTGTTGTTGGGTTGGCTCGGAGCGAAGTTGAAACACTTGAGGAGGTACGTGGAATTGTACAATTCGAGGGGAATTCACGCTGTTACATTCGTTGCTTCGGTGAGGGATGTGCTTTCGTTCGATTTGGGGAGGAAATTACAGGAGAGGATCTCTGAATTTGCGCAAGAGCTTACTACCTGGTTGTCGGAGACGGAAAAGGATGGGCGCGAACGGGTCTTGCTCTTCCACACCTTCAGCAATACCGGTTGGCTTGCGTAGGTTGATTGATTGGACTCTTAATTTATATGCATCTATTGCATTTGCTTCAATGGGTGGTTTCAAACAATGAATTCAACTGTTCAATTAATCAATAACAAAATACAATCACGACCAAGTGTAGGCCATTTTGGTTGTTGTATACTTGTATAGCACCCATTGGTTTAGAAGTTGTGGTTATGGTTAACAATTTGGGGGTGACAGTTAGAGACATGATGCTTACATATTGATATGTTCTTAGTGGCAATTTGTTATTGTTGACTATGCAGCTATGGTGCCATTCTTGACACTTGGCAAGACAGAGAGGACCTTTTGATGAAGATCAAAGGATGTGTTGTGGATTCAGGAGGAGACCCAGATATAAATCCTAAGGTTTGTAATTGCATGCTTTGATGTTTGAAGTTTAAAGATTGTTTTTTTATGTGGTTTTGAATCCGTCAATCATCATGAATTTGTTTGGGAATTCTGATAAAACATCTGACTTTCTGCATATTCAAATAATTGAGGCAACTCATTTGCTTTATTTGTACTGCAAATGCAGTTTCATTTGTTTTACCTTGCCGCAGAAGCAAGGTAATACAAACAGAACTATGATGCTTTACTTGGTGTGTTCTAATTAGCTTTCAATTGATTGTCTATGATGCTTTACTTGTTCCAAGAAATATCAAGGGGAAGGAAAATAATATATGCTCATAATCTTTTATGTATTTTATCTTCATTTTTTTCTTAAAAACCTATGATTGGCCACCAAGCTTCCAGTTGAGTACTTCTTACTCACTTAACAGCGGAGCAGAGGGATGAGTGAACGAATGTCTACCATGTTTCAAAATTATATATACAAAATGTTATCACCCGAAAGAAAAAGAAAAAATTCACGAGTACATGCTGCGCATTTATAACTTTTCTTTTGAGCTCAATTTTATGGTTTTATTGAAGCACTCATTTTGACTTCATTCTTTCATGATCATGACTATTCTCAAGTTATGAGGATCTCGGCCAAACACTTGGAAAGTAAAGCAACAGTTCAGTCTACTTGGCACTCATTTTTCTACTGTGAAAGACAAAATAGTCCGTTCAGGTCAAAACAGTACTATTCGGATATTTGAGGTATGTATTGGATACGTACCACTCAGCTGAGCCAAGTGCCCAACAGTTGCGAATTGGTCAAAAGATACTGTATGACCTTGCCTGGGCCTAAAAGTTTTTTTTATGAGATACACCATAAAACCCTGAGTTTTGTGTTAAGAAACTAGGATCTTTGCTGGAGTAGTATCAACTACAAGCCCTAAATTTGGCTATAGTAGTAGCACCATCACTAGAGTTATGTGTTTTGATTATTTTATTTTTTTTTGTGAGAAAAAGGGGGGAGGGGGCCAGAAACATCACTTTTAGTTGGGGCATAATTGGTTGGGTGAAAATGTGCTTATTCTTACATTTTTAGCCACCACGGTCTCTTCATATAAGCCATCAGTATTTCGTTGTTGTAACAAGGGACCAGAGCTTGTCAATGTTAAGCACGTAATTTCATGAGGAATGTGAAAAAAAACAAAGGAAACCTTTATGTACAAGTGTCATAAGTGTATTCTTTGCTATGAGATTGTTTGGTGTTATCTGTCTCCCCCTCCCTTTTTTTTTTTGTGTGCTGGGTGTGGATGTTGTTGGTGTCATTAAAAATCATTCCCATGCTAGATATTTTGTAGTCAACTTCTTTGGTGTTCTTCACCTACAGTATTCCTTATTTTGAGAAACCCACTAATTTTATTTGTCTTTCCTTCTATTCTGATCATTGCATAAGACATTCTCTGTTATCTAGCTTTCATCATGTTAAATATCTTCAACGAACTGGGAAAACAAGTAGTAGTCATTAATAGGTCCTTCTCATTCCTTGGTAGGTCTGGGCTGCTGGATTTACTGCCGCCCTGCTGCAGAAACGTAGCTCCTCAGTATATCCTTCAGTTAACCCTGGAGAACAAAATGAATTAAGCATTGGAGATCCGATACCAATGATGCAAGAAAAGGAACCTCCGTTAATTGAATCCTTGCTCCTGTTTGCATTTGAGAAGCTCTTTGCCTTTCTTCTTAACTTGCCTGATGTAAATCAGTAAGCATGTCTTGTTTCTCTGGACTTACATAACTTTGTTTTAAACTTCAAATGGCGAAATAGAAGATGACTTAAATATTATCAGAACATGTGAAGAATAATGGTTGTTGTTATCCCTTCTCTTTGTTTAACAGGAGGTTGATGAAGAACATCGCTGCCCTCTCGAAGAAGCAGCCGCCTTGTCCTCAGCTTTATTTATATAGTTCAGCTGACAAGGTCATTCCGTTCCGCTCCGTAGAATTGTTTATTGATGACCAGAGGAGAATGGGGAGAAAAGTATGGTTTTATAACTTTGGCACGACCCCTCACGTTGATCATTACCGAACTTTTCCTGATTTATATACGTTGCAGCTTCAGAATTTCTTGAAGGAGTGTGTTGCCATGGTAAAACAAGTTTAGAAGCATGCTAATGCAGATTGTGTACCAGTCATTTGATTTGTTTGATAACTGCTTGTGTAGTGTCATTAAGGCCAGGGGCAATAATTTTAGAGAATAGTTCCTAATTCTGATGTTAGTCATGCTACAGAATCAATGTATATTACTATCTTATCCAGCTAATGCAATGCCATTCCTCTCTCTCTCTTGATCGCGATATCTCTTATGTATAGTTGTGTGTTTATTTTGGGATGATAAATTGATCAAATGACCATCTAACTTAGTAACTAAACCCATATAGCAGATCAACCTCCATGGGATTAGTTTTGCTATAGGTGGTCCGTTTCTGCATGGATTTGGAAGCTCGTGAGAATTTTTGGACTTCACTTATTGTCGACCCAAATGGAGGATTTGATAAGATTTGGAAATATTGTCATCCGACTCCGATTCCGACTCATCCCTGCTGGATTTAATTCAGGGGCGGATTAGCTGCCTCCACTGAAATTTTAAAATTCTTTGTGACCTAATTAGAATTTTAGGAAAATTTCAGAAGCACTAAAAACTAGCCCGCTGTGAAAATTTATAAAACATTTGGCGTCTGGTTTATAATTTATTCTGGAATAATTTACTCCTGAGGACGAGTATCTCTCTTCTTTCCTTCTCTTCCCTCTCTTTCCTCTTTAGTCACCAGCCGAATCAATCCTCCTCAAGAATCACACAGGCTGCGTAGTCCATTTATCTCCACCTTGTTCTTGTGTTCCTTTTTCATCATCGATTTTCTCAGAACCAATCAGCATATAAATTTGCTCCTAATAGGAGCCCTAGAAGATTCTATGAAGCTGTCAAGAGATAACCCAATAACCCATCAAATTTTTTTTAGATTTTTGGAGATTTGATCATTTTTTGAATCTTTTTATTTTATGAGAGACAAAACATTGTGGTCTATAAGAAAAAAGTACTTGTTTTTTTTCTAAAGCATTGTTGCTTGTTAGATGTTTGTTAAAATGCCACAAACAAAAGCCATGAGAAAANGTCTATAAGAAAAAAGTACTTGTTTTTTTTCTAAAGCATTGTTGCTTGTTAGATGTTTGTTAAAATGCCACAAACAAAAGCCATGAGAAAATGAGCAAAGTGTGCTAGTAACCATGACTACGCGGGAGGCCTGTAGAAATTATTCATTGCCCAAGCTCAAAAGGGCTGCAATTTTGAACTATTTGAAGCTTGAAATTTTCTAGTGGAATGGTTCGGCAATGTGCATTGACCTTGATTACTCAGTGTTCGTACCAATACATTATTGTTACTAATTATTTTTACTAGTGTTACTCTTCGTGCAATCTCTATAATATANTGATTACTCAGTGTTCGTACCAATACATTATTGTTACTAATTATTTTTACTAGTGTTACTCTTCGTGCAATCTCTATAATATATTATTAACTCGAGTCTTCGAAATTGATTTAATTATATAGTATTATAATTATTTATTTTTAATACAATCCATGAGATTGAATTTTGAAGGCTTATCGTCTTGTTGAGTTTTAATTAGTTTATGTTAAATTTTGGATCAAAGTATTGAGAATTTGCCTTTTATGGATTATACTTTGGATTAAATTGTTCCATTAATTAAACTTTACTAATTTTCTTGCAATTGATTAATTTTTCCTGTCTTAGTTCGGTTTAATAGACTTGGGATATATTGAATTTTTGCTAATTTTTTTTTGATAAATTCGTTTGATTTATTTTATTTATGGGTAAATTATACTCTCACCCTTGACATTTGACTAAATGACAGAGAGATCCCCTGACATTTTTACAATTACATGGAGACCCTTTGTCGGCATCAATAGGTGACCGCGATAACATAAATGATAAATGATTATTTTAACCCTTTAATTTAATTTATAATAAAATAATACATAATAAGTAATAAATAAAATATATTATCAAAAATTAAATTAACTTGCAACAAACCCCATCACAGCCCTTACACTAACCGACGTCTCACTCATCCTTTACACCACCGACTGTCGCCACCACTCCTGCTCCTCTCCTCTCTCTTTACCAACCTGCAACAAACCCCGTCACAGCCAACCCTCCCAACTCAGTTGCCGCCACCACCACCACTCCAAACCCATAACTTAGGTCCTCGCCCCCTCCCTGCAACAAACCCCGTCAACCTAACCCAACTGCCACAACCATCATCACTCCAAACCCATCACTCCCATCGACCCAACCTAGCTGCCACCACTAGTCCAAACTCATCACTCCTAACCCCCTTCTCTTTCTCTCTCTACCTCTCTCTTGTCTCTCCCTTCAGATCCACCCAGCTTCTCACTGCAACAAACCCCATCGACCCAACCCAGCTGCCACNTCTCTTTCTCTCTCTACCTCTCTCTTGTCTCTCCCTTCAGATCCACCCAGCTTGTCACTGCAACAAACCCCATCGACCCAACCCAGCTGCCACCACCACTACCACTCCTCCAAATCTATCATTCCCAACCCCCTTCTCTTTTTTTTCTCTACCTCTTTCTTCTCTTTCCTTCTCAAATACCCCAACTCCTCGCCCCTTCCCTACAACAAATCCCATCGACCCCAACCCCAGCTGCCACCACCACTCCAAACCCATCACTTCCAACCCCCTTTAATTTCTCTGTCTACCTCTTTTTTCTCTTCCTCTCAAATCCCCCAGCCCCCTTCCTACAACAAACCCCATTGCATCCAACCCCAACTGCCACCACGATCACCACTCCAAACTCAACCTTCCCAACCCCAGCTGCCACTGCCATCATCACTTCAAACCCACCGCTCTCAGTTGAACTAATTATCCTAGTTGAAAGTAATTTTTTTATTAATTTTAATCAAAATATAATGGTTTAATGTTAATATTTGATTAATTTTTATAATGTCATAATTAATGTTAGTAAAATGATATATTATGATAATTAGTGGCCAAGATTATCTTAAAAAATGTTGCACATATTATAGAGGGGTAATTTTGGAGTTAGATAAATTTTGTTCCTTGACATTACTATTTTCTGTTAGTTAGACTAACGAAGAGAAGGCGGAAAGGGTGCTCGTGTCATGATTTTTAAATCTTAGGGTGATTGCTGTGTAATTTTAGAAATATTAGGGGTTTTTGTATTATTTGATCAAATGTCAAGGGTGTGAGTGTAATTTATCCTTTAATTATTTATCCTTCGTAGAAGGTATTTGTTAAAAATTAAAGGACAAAGTATTGACTTTGTGTCTTAACCAATCAACGAGTTTTAACTTTCAATGCGTTTCAACTCTCAAGTTGCCCTCATTATTGAACAATTCCCCCGCCCTCCTTAACACCCTAATTTAATTACATTGGCTTAGATGAGATTGACTTCAAAATTCAATTCGGCTCAATCCATCGTTAGCTATCTAAACATCTTCTATTACTTCTAGATGGATTCAATTCCACCTCTTAAGTTGTATTAAAATTGACATACTTTGATTTAAGAGTAATATTACATAATTCAAATGAAATTAAAAAAATGACAACCCAATATGCATGTTATCTCTTGGATAAGTGAATTCTATCAACTTTCTTTCTTACTGGACTCATTCATCCAGTACTCATTTAAGAGATAATATGTATTTAAATTATAATTTTTAGATTCCATTTAAATTTAATCCTATACACAACATCAAGTGACTTTGGAAATTGTCATCCATGGACAAGAAGTCCAGGTTCAATGCACTTCAGAATGTCATGGTTCGGTGGACCGAGTCAGATTCATAGTAGGTAGAGAAAGTCCAGGTTCAATGCACCTCCTCAAATAGTTGGGTGGGAGGGGGGTAGTATTGGGCTTTTCTTTTGTTTTTGGGCTTCAACCCAATCCCCACTGTGGTTTTCTTTCTACAATTGTCGGTACGGCCACGCGCCTTCTATCTAATTTCCACCGGAGAAGACAATCCCATTCATTTCCTCGTTCGTTGTCCAGCAATAATGATAATTCTCAACAATTCAGCCGCAAATTCAGAAATTTCTCCGCCGGATTCGTACGGAGCTGTTGTTCTCGGAGGCACCTTTGATCGGTTGCACGACGGTCACCGCCGTTTCCTCAAGGTCCTTTCCTTTCTCTCACTTCCGTGCGCGCGCGCACACACACACACACACACAGTCTCTATGTGATCACTTATTGATGAAGAAAGTAGAGTTGAATGGATATTGCAGGCAGCGGCGGAGCTTGCGAGGGATCGAATAGTTGTTGGAGTTTGCGATGGCCCCATGTTGACTAAGAAACAGGTACACCGTACAGTAAATTTGTGTGTGTGTGTGTACATATATATTTGCTTGTATGAGTGTAGACTTCATTGTTACTGTGATATTAGGTTTGATTATCAGTTGATGATGAAATTATTGATTTTGATGAGGTATAAGACGTTCCAACATGCTATTTTAGTTTTTTAGAACGGTTTCTTAAATGTTTGATGTAGAAAAACAGAAGCAATACATTAAATTGGTTGATTGTTGGAGAAGTTGGGGTATATTTGGTAACCTTGTTCAATTCAGAGTTAACAAAAGTTATAATTGGAAATTTAAAAGCCAAAACANATGATGAAATTATTGATTTTGATGAGGTATAAGACGTTCCAACATGCTATTTTAGTTTTTTAGAACGGTTTCTTAAATGTTTGATGTAGAAAAACAGAAGCAATACATTAAATTACATGGGTGTCGCTTATTGGATGAGCATCCATCCATCCATTCATTAATTAATGGAAAAAGCTATACTCACTATCACCCACACGGCCTTGCTACATGAGAATTATGTTGAAAAACTAGTGTCTTGGTGTCAGATTATTTTTCTGAAGTTTTCCTTTTAACAATTCCAGACCATAAACTGCTAACTGCGCGCATTGTGATTTGTGATTGGTTTGTCATTGCTAAATGTTGATGCTGTAGTTTATATGTTTCCACCTGCTGTTCAGCAAAACTTGTCAGACTTTCATCTCAAGTCAACCAAATTTTCATTGACTTAGTTAAGTCCAGGTGTATTTTTGGGGACAAAATTCAACATGCTATGGGCTGTTAGCCTGTTGGCTTGGGTGGAATCATCTTCTACCACAAAAGGACAGATAGTGCAAGGTTCAATTCTTGGTCGGGATGTGTGCATGCATTTAACTGAATAAGACAAAAAAGAAATGAACAAATTTGATAAAAAAAAAAGTTATACTAATGAGGTTTTTAACAATTTCTTTACAGGTAAGTGTGTTTTTTAGATCACCTCTTTCNCTACCACAAAAGGACAGATAGTGCAAGGTTCAATTCTTGGTCGGGATGTGTGCATGTATTTAACTGAATAAGACAAAAAAGAAATGAACAAATTTGATAAAAAAAAAAAAGTTATACTAATGAGGTTTTTAACAATTTCTTTACAGGTAAGTGTGTTTTTTAGATCACCTCTTCCCTTATGAATGGTGCCTATATTGATGTGAATAGCCACTAAATTGTTCAAGTTACTTCTAGTTTAATGTCTGACATAACTACCAAATCCTCTCAAAGCCAAAAAAAAATGGAAAAAGCCAAAGGATAATAAATAGGGAAGAAGAAATAGAAATAGAGTTGCTGGTAAGTGGTAACTGCTCACCAAACAATCATTGGTAAATATTTCCAAGGAATCAATTTTTTTGTCTTCTTGCTTATTGATGCTGGTCTTTCCTGTATANCTCTCAAAGCCAAAAAAAAATGGAAAAAGCCAAAGGATAATAAATAGGGAAGAAGAAATAGAAATAGAGTTGCTGGTAAGTGGTAGCTGCTCACCAAACAATCATTGGTAAATATTTCCATGGAATCAATTTTTTTGTCTTCTTGCTTATTGATGCTGGTCTTTCCTGTAGATTATATGGAATGGTAACAAAAATATGAAATTTGTACCTACTTTTGCAGTTTGCAGATCTAATAGAGCCCATTGGGAAAAGAATGCAAAATGTTCAAGAGTACATTAAGGTACTTAGCATATCCTTTTCTTTTTTCTATGGGCAGTTGTTGGCACTAGAAGTTTAAACCACTTTTGAAATTTACATCAAAATAATTTCCTTTAAAACTGCATTTACTCANACCTACTTTTGCAGTTTGCAGATCTAATAGAGCCCATTGGGAAAAGAATGCAAAATGTTCATGAGTACATTAAGGTACTTAGCATATCCTTTTCTTTTTTCTATGGGCAGTTGTTGGCACTAGAAGCTTAAACCACTTTTGAAATTTACATCAAAATAATTTCCTTTAAAACTGCATTTACTGATTGTAGCTGAGCTGATATTTGAAGTGGTTCATGTATTTAGCTGTATCCCCATGCTTTGTATCAACTTCCAGCACATTGTATACTGCCACATGCCCATAAGTGGGTGGCCATTTTCCAACTAATAAGAAAAGGAGGTGCAATTGCTTTATTGTGATGAATTCATAGAGAGTTGACACTTGCTGTGGGAATAAACTATGAAGTGCCTACTGCCTAAAGACATGGATCATCAAGCCCACTACCTTTGCTGGAGATGGACTACCTGGCCACTAACTCTGCTGTTATAATTGCCCATTAGACACTATTTTGCTTGCAGAAAAGCTTTTTCCCTTATGCTGTTGTGGTGATCTGATTTTTTTTTTCTGCAGTCCATTAAACCTGAGCTGCTGGTGCNGAGAGTTGACACTTGCTGTGGGAATAAACTATGAAGTGCCTACTGCCTAAAGACATGGATCATCAAGCCCACTACCTTTGCTGCAGATGGACTACCTGGCCACTAACTCTGCTGTTATAATTGCCCATTTGACACTATTTTGCTTGCAGAAAGCTTTTTTCCTTATGCTGTTGTGGTGATCTGATTATTTTTTTCTGCAGTCCATTAAACCTGAGCTGCTGGTTCATGTTGAACCGATAATAGATCCCTATGGTCCTTCCATCATTGATGAGAATTTGGAAGCTATTGTTGTTAGGTACATTCCTCAATCAAGAACTTTTGCTCTTGTTTTGCTCTTTTTCTTTTTTTTCCTTCTTTGAGTATGTGTGTATTTGGTTGGGGGATTGTTCTGGTAGGTATGAGTGTGTAATTTGTCTTTAACTTGTGTCTGTAAATATTCTATTGAGATCGTGGCTTCAAAAGTCAAGGCATCCTTTCTGTGTACTTATTACATACCCTTTTATGTGCAGGGGTTTTCTCTGCATTTATACAGCTTGTATCAATAGCTGCGAGCACAGTCTTGTCTACATATTGTCACTAACAATGTTTTTCCTTTATATGAGCATAATGATAGCATGTCTTTACTTTTCCTTTGAACAATTGTTGGATATTTGCCAAACCCATGTCCAAAAATTATTTTTGGTTCAGACCAAACTGAATGATGAGCTTATTATTTATTGTTGTNAGTCTTGTCTACATATTGTCACTAACAATGTTTTTCCTTTATATGAGCATAATGATAGCATGTCTTTACTTTTCCTTTGAACAATTGTTGGATATTTGCCAAATCCATGTCCACAAATTATTTTTGGTTCAGACCAAACTGAATGATGAGCCTTATTATTTGTTGTTATGGTTATTGTTGAAGGTTATCTAACTCAATTTGTTTGTCCTGTTAGCAAGGAAACTTTAGCTGGTGGACTGTCTGTCAATAAGAAGAGAGCTGAGAGGGGCCTCTCACAACTACAGGTTTTGGTTCTTGTTTTACATATATTTAGCTAACTGCAAGAAAATTGAATTGCAATGTTCTATGTTAAGATGATTGTCAAAGATCAAAAATCACCGTGGAGGATCCTGTGCAGGTTGAAGTTGTAGATCTAGTACCTGAAGAATCTTCTGGCGATAAGCTAAGTTCCACGACATTACGGAGGCTTGAGGCTGAAAGGATAAAGAAACTTCATTTAGAATAGCAGGTATACCTGTTTCGAGTCGACACCAGATTGTTGTACAATAGTTCATTGTTGTTTCTACAAGTTTGACGACGTAGTCAACTGCTGACGTGGACAAGAATTTAGCACTTCTCCATTATTTATGGCTCTTCAATAAGATTTTGTCTGGAAAATGTGAAATCTCTCTCTCTCTGCGCTTATATGTGCACAACACGCCCGCGTGTGAAGAGCATAGAGTGAACAAGCTGATTGGTGCTTCATTGGATAAACATGGAGAGTTCCAAGAAGGACCCGTGCTTGTGTTGGACAGTCACAGCACCTCTTGTTGGACATTCAGGGCCACATGGTTGATGTCTATTGAATAATTTGTGCATGAAATTCCATATCCTTGGAAATCTGATCGACAAAACTTGGGCATTTGGTTACGACCCTCTTTTAGCATGAAAAGAGAAAGTATATGTATGCAGGTTCCTATAATTTATCATTCTCTCGTTTGTGATTGGTGACTCTTACCCGGTCCATGGTCTGGGTTCTGACCTTCATTCCCGTAGTCGAGGTAAGAATATTTTTATTAATGTTTTTTTTTCTTAGAAAGGCAGTGGAGCATGAACATTGCGGGGAGAATAAGATGAATAATCTCGAGGTGTAGTTCAAGTGATAACATGGACGAGTTATAAATTTAGACTTTCTAAATTTAAATCTTGGGCAATTCTTTGGAGTGAGGGAATACTCTAGTATTGGCTTGGATTGGATGACTTACCTTTAACTGGATCGAGGAGGGAATTAATTGAGGTGAGTGTAAGTTGGCCCAGACATCTTTGATTGTTAAAACTAAATAAAAAAAAATAGATGAATGAGAATAAGAGTCACTTGTAAAGAATGAATTCAAGTTTTAAACTTGGTATACACACCACCTTATCTCAGGTGCAATTTGGAATTTAGATGTTCCAGAGGATCATCTGATGGTTTTTTAACTTCATTTTCTGAACAGACATTTGTATAATCCTTTGTTTCATGTTTAGAACTCGAAATTTTTACATGAACTTTGTCTTAATAACTTTGGAAAAGCAAAAGTAAAATTTCTGACGTTGGATCCATCAAATTACACACGCATCGTGTATGAGATAATTCAAAGATTGTTGGTCTTATTTCGAGAAAGTGGAGGTTATCGATTTGAATATCCTAGTTGATAGTTGTACTAATGATAAAAAAAAAAAAATTAAAATGCACATAAAATAGAAGTTGTACTATAGGAAAGATTTTAATTTTGAACAATGCTGAGACTTAATTTATTGTGATTTTTGAATTGATTATAGGTTTCATTAAATATCGGAACTTGGTGTTAATCTAATGGTTTCAATAAAAATATATCATTAGATCAATAAATTAGATCAAATTTTTAGGTCTAAACAGTAGTATTCTTTAATTTTTACATAATTAGCGTGATAAATAATTTGGTATGTAGTCTCAAACCAAAGGATTATCTCCATGCATTTTCCAATTCGTGCTGTAGTGAAACGATGTCGTATTTGTTTCAGTACTCGCCAGTCACAGCCGAGTTTAGCGGGATATTGAATTTAACGGCTATTTCCGGAGCAACGAAAATTTCAAATACTTAAAACCGAACGATCGCGATCCCTACCCTCTTTATAACTCCCGTAAGAGTTTCTTCTCAGTCCAACTCTTTCTTTTGGGCTCTGATCATTCTTTTCCCAAACCCTAGTAAATGAGAGAATCGCCATAGAATTCTTCAAGGTTTGAACTATCCCATTTTCAATCTCTTTCTTTTATTCGTATTCTTTTTACTAATTCATACACCTGTTTGATTCAGAATTCTCGTTGCAAACAAGAAGCGCCATTGAATTCTTCAAGGTTCGATTAAACCCATTTTCAATCTCTTTCTTTTATCATGTTCTTTTACTAATTTATACATCCGATTGATTCAGAATTCTCGTTGCAAATTCTCTTGGAATCCAGAAATTCCAAGAAATTAGCCTTTAATTTCTTCTCTGCAAAAAAGGGTACAATACTCATGTGTTCACTTTCATTCGTCTGTGTAAGTGGGTCTCTATAATTTCTATATCTATGTGTAAATCATGTAAGACTGTGTTTTCTTGGTTCATATGCAGGTAGGTCTTCAAAAATTGTTGCGAAAATGAATGATCTTATGACAAAATCGTTTCTAAATTATGTGGAATTGAAGAAACAATCCCAGATGGACCTCGAAGCCGAGAAGGACATAGAATTAGGCCAACTCAGCCCCACAGATGAAGAGAACCTTTCTCAGTTCTTTCAAGAAGTCGAAGCAATCAAGGCCGACATGGAAGAGATTACTAATCTCCTTATTGATCTTCAAAATCTGAATGAAGAGACTAAATCCACTCACAGTGCCAAAGTTCTTCGCGGCCTAAGGGATCGTATGGACTCAGACATGGTTTCTGTTCTTCGAAAAGCCAAGATTGTGAAGTCCAGACTCGAAGCACTGGATAAATCGAATGTGGGTAACCGAAGAATATCAGTGGCCTATTCCGAAGGCAGTGCAGTTGATAGAGCAAGAGTTTTAATTACCAATGGGTTGAGGGCAAAGCTTCGGGACATGATGAATAATTTTCAGACTTTGAGAGAGAGAATATTATCAGATTACAAAGAGAGTTTGAGGAGAAGGTATTACAACTCGACCGGGGCAGTCCCGAGTGAGGAAGTGATTGAAACGATGGTTTCAGGAAGTGGGAAAGTTGAGATATTTGAAGGGAGGACAGAACTGAACTTGGAGAATAAGGAGAAGCATGAGGCTGTGATGGACATTCAGAGGAGTTTGAATAAGCTTCATCAGGTTTTTCTTGATATGGCTGTTTTGGTTGAGATACAAGGTGAACAGATTGATGATATTGAGCATAATGTGGTCAATGCAGGAAGCTATATCAGTGGTGGCACTAACAGTCTTTTCTACGCTAAGCAGATAAAGAAGAAGGGGAAGAAATGGGCTTATTGGGTGTGGGCTGTGGGGCTGATCATATTGCTGGTGTGCTTCATTGCAATGTTAAATTCTTAAGAATGAAATTGAAGAAATAGGCATTAGTTTAGAAGATCATTTTGATCGATTTAGGGTCTGGGTCTGTAAATTCTTATTTTTGGGCTGAGCTTGTCTGAGCTCAATGCTTTTTGTTGCTGTGATTGGCACTTCTTATAGACATTTCTGTTGTTTAGATTGAAATAGAACTTTTTGGGTCCTTCATCTTCCCCCCCCAAACCCAAACACACAAAAATAGCTGAATACAATCTGGAAGTGAAATGAAATATGGCATAGGCATCATCAGTTAGAGTCATGGAAATAGTGTATCCTCGTATAAGAGTAAGACCGCATACATTTTTCCTAGACTGCTATTAGAGGAATCCTTCTTCTTCCATTGCCTAACCCATTATTGAAACGTTGACAAACAATGCAAATTAGATCCAACTATTGTAGGGTGTTTGGCTTATCTTTGTGTTTGCTGTTGTGGTTTAACCAAACCTCTGTTTAATGTGGTTGGCTAAATGTAATGTGGTTATCACATCTAAAAAGCGCCAAACGACCGCACAAAAGTGGGTCAGTATTTGATGAATGTGTGCTTTCTACCAAATGAGACCGTCAGAGGGTGTGGTGGACATCCGAAGAGTTTTGGTCAATCACTTGCGAGTTCACTCAAGCATTTAGTGACTTGTTTTCATTTTTGATGTTGAATTATTGACTTTGTGATGTGTTGTGTTGTGTTCCCATAGAACTGGCATTGCTGTCCGTGCAGGGCCTCCACTCACAAGCACTTTATTTTTGAGAAATATAAAGCAACTAGAGTATTAATCGAGTCAAATTTTGTGAGTTTGAGTTTAAACCTGCCAATTATAAAAAATTGTTATAACCATGACTTGTTTAAAACTCGAGTCAAGCCCGAATAGTTCAACTATTTTATATTTTATATATAAACAAGTCAAGCTTAAACCGAGCCTTTAAAGTTTAGTTAGAAAAACGATCCTTAAAAATTATTCAAACTCAGTTTGTTTAGAATATAAGTTGAGCTCCAACCAAATTTTATTTGAACCGAACCCGAGCCAANGAGCCTTTAAAGTTTAGTTAGAAAAACGATCCTTAAAAATTATTCAAACTCAGTTTGTTTAGAATATAAGTTGAGCTCCAACCAAATTTTATTTGAACCGAACCCGAGCCAAGTAACTCGTCTAGATTAACACCCCCACATACAACTAGAGAGAGAGAGAGAGAGAGATTAGTCCTGGAATAGTATTTGTTGCATGAAGGATACAAAGGAAACATGACATTTCATTACTAAAACAAGCAAATTGTATTTTCCCGAGCCAGGGAGAGCTTTACAAAACAGGAGCCAAAAAGGAAAAATGGGAACAAGAAAGATGAAGAAGAGAAGAGGGAAAAATGTTCAGCTGATGCTTAGATGCTGTGTGGCTGTCCATGATTCCTCCGGCTCTAGCTGGACATTTCCAATCTGAGGTGAACATGGAGGAGGGGAAAACATAATCAACTTCCAGCAAGAATTAATTAAACAATGCCTGCTGCATCAGGAAAGAGTATCTGAAGACTGTTCAACCAGCAAAATACCACATCTTGGCTTGATAGTAGAGAAGATAATGAAAAAGCAACAAAAAAAAAAGAACTTTTCGGGCCACACTCATTCATGATTTACTGGTTGAACTACCTAGATCGACTTTGCAAGCAGTAGAATGCTCTCATACCTTGGCATTTTCAACGCAAACAAAATCTTTGTAGCATGCTTCCATTGTCAGATATGGGTTCCACAGTACTGCATCTGACCAGCTGAATATACAAGAACGGAAAGCCAATTAAATGCAATGCCAAAAAATTGATTTGAAAACCGAACAAAGAATCACATGAAGTTTCCATACAACTTACTTTGAATTCCGAATGGATATTGTATCACCCAAACCATTATCCAGGTGTAACTCATCAGGGGCTTCAAGATAAACGCAGTCAACAAATCCCGGAAATGTGATTACATCCCTGAGTTGTGAAGATAAGGGTTAGGAAGAGGCCTTTATATTGCGAAAATTGAATGCGGCAACAGTGAATTTCAGAGTTGATATGGTGCTCAGAGAGAGCATGCACACTTTTTTGTGGCCAGCAAAGAGGGCATGCCTTACAGAAGTACAAGAAACTCCCAATTATTTACCAAGTGAGGAGAAACTGTACTCTGCATAAACTATATCATATTATATGTTGGAAGCGTCAACATAATCATATAAACTCAAAACTCACTTTGCAAATTACAGATCTGTATCAATTCTTTCGAAGGAAATCATTACTCTAGATCATCAGACAAACAATGTTTTCTAGAAAAAAAATGTTAACCTTTCTTGGATAAGAGCTGCAAGATATATGATACAGACCTTTCCTCCTTGCCCTCCAGTGGATTTTTCGGATCTGGGTCTTTATTCAGTGTTTTGCAACCTTTTAAGCCTCTGACCGACGCACCTGTCACAGAAGCCTGCATGACAGAAGGTAAACCATTGCAGCATTCTCTATAATTTTTAAGGGGCATTTAATCCAATGAAATCATGCAAATACAAAAACTTTCAAGTTTCATAAAATGCTATGAATAGAGAACATTTTCCAAGTTTTATATAATTTCTAGATTATATATATTTGTTAAAAGACTAATTGGGTTTTAAATCCACAACTAAGTTTCAAAATTGAATCTCTCAAGCTAGTCATTAGAAACTTGGTGTTGCTTTTTCCCAAACACGGTGTGTTACTTACACTGAAGTATGTATGCAGGGCAGTATTGAATGAAAATGGTTTTTTGTCCTTATTAGTAATTTTTAATTCTGTTGAGAGGCTCCTTTTATCTAGGATGACCTGCAAACAAAAGAAAGAAGAAAACAGTAAATAATCAGATCAAGGGATTGCTAAATGAGGATATCTAAAGTCTAAACTACAGAACAAAACTAGGACTAATGTACAAGTGCATAGGCATTTGTCGCCTGTTCCTAACATGTGGATTCATCAAGTTGTACCAAAGCAGTGTATGGTACAATCAGGATGAAAACAAACCCATAACCATCTAGTCAAAAATAGTCTAACGCAGAGGAAAACTGACAAAGTTACCTTGTATAGAGCTTGGAAATTAAAATCCCACATAGCATGACTAGATGGACCATCTTTTAGCTCTAGAGTAACAACAGGATTTCCTTCAACATTTTCAGAATCAGCAATCGACCAAGTCATATTTCTTGCAAACCCATGCTGTGAACCACATAAGCATCTTGAAAGTTCAATATCAAGATTAGGAAACTGGAAATGAATACCGCGAATTTGGACAAAGGATTAATCACTTTGTGCGGGCATTGACTAAAAATGGAAAAGTAAAGTTTTCATTCACTAATGACTCAACTACAAGGTCTACAATGACCAAGACCAGAATCTAGGTGTTCTTCAGATTAAACCAATCAATGGCAGCTACAAATCTATTCAGGGTATACTTTATAGAAGATTATCCATTTCACCCCATCATCTAATTGATCACTATCCAGATAGTACAATATAGATCTGCAAATATTTATTGAAGGCCTTTGTTAGGGGTGGAAGTGTGTTGGAGTATCAGTGTGAGGCTTATTTCATAAGAAACACAATGACAGACATCTGGAGACTGCTGCTGATTACTAAGGACACAATACAAGGCGTACCTGCTGCATTGGGCCTGGTCCAAACTGCGGGAAACAATGTGGTATTCCTCCACTATCCCAGAAGAGAGAGAGACAGTCAGTAAACATGGTCAATCCCAAATATTTAGGAGATTAGTATATTCAAAAACATGTCAACTCCAATGGACAGCTGAAACTAGTTTCTGAGATGGCACAAAAGCAATATGAATTGGAATGCTATTAGTTCTGGACAGTAGCAGGGAAGATAACCTGATCGGTTTCTGCCCATTGAATACAGCATCTGGCCGAACGAAAAGGAGATCCTTGCAGGCAACTTTCCAAGATGTGATGCAACCTCCAAATAAGTACAGCTCAGCCTCACTGAAAATACAGTATCCAATTAAGCAACTGCTCATATAGTCTAAAACACATCGATATATGGACCCTACAAACTCAGTCCCCCAATCAATTTAAGTATGTCAACTACACCAAATATTAACTTTCCATAGAAGTGAAAATGTTCTTTAGCGAACATTAACAATCCTTCAATTGTTGACAAAGTAAGGATAGATTTGAACTTAGTCACCAAAATGGCAGTAGGGAAATTTAGGGGTAGTTGGACTAGTATGAATTCTGGGAACAATCTCTCAGATTGGATTCAGCCATAGTAATGAAGGAACTCAATCTCATAGATTTTTATGTCAGAACCAGTTAGTTCAGAATCCCAAAAACCCTGGCTCGCCTAACGAAATGACATCCTGAGAAGTCCACGACAACCTTACACTATATAATGGATAAACAAGTTCCTGCATACAGAACTTTCATCCGGCTGCTACTTGATAGGGACGGCATAAGGATTGTCACTTAACAGGTAATACCGCTGCTTCCTAAATCTTAAAGATCCACCCGAATGGCAAAAGGAGTCTAGAAACAACTATCGCATCATTTTATTCTTGTTATAAACAAACACATAAAATTTTGGACCATTTATATGGAAAAATCTAACAGTTCGGCATCCGACAAAAACCTTGTTCTTAGAAAGTATAAAATTGTCAAAAATTAAAAGCAATTCATTACTATTCTGTAGTTTATGGCTATCCACATACACCCATAGACACACATAATGCATAAAAAGTGCAATGTATGCAGCAATTGAGCCCGAATGTAACTTACCTTCCGTGAGCAGAAGTCAAAACGATCTTCGGCAAATTCCCTAAGCCTTCTGTAATCTGCACCCCCAAACAAGTAGATGTCTCTTTGTTTCCACTAGCAAAAGCCATTCCGGAGTATCTGTCACCAAGCTGTAAGGCGTTAATTCAGTCAATTTCGTATTTAATATACATACACACGCACACACATTTTCAGTGATTCAGCTGAATAGATGCTCAAAAACAAACAGGAATCGAAATGGAGATGAAGAAAAAGAAGCGATAGGATCGAGACACCTAAAACTAAGACGATACAAGGAGCAGTAAGAAATTCGGATCGAAATGCAGAGAAATTGCAGGGATGAACTCACCGGTTGACTCGCCGACGGTTAGAAGAGGTTAGGTTAGGGAGACACCAAGACATTGACACGGTAGCCATTTTTCATACGACGACTGTATCAAAGTTACTAACTGCAGGCTTCTAAATATCTTTATGTTATCCATTTCCCAAAATTCGGATATTCTTTTTCCTTTTATTTTAACTTTCTTTCTTTTTATTTTAATATTCTCTCCCCCTTTTTATTTTTTTGATTAATAAACACACAAAAAATACAAATTCTTCACAAAAATTCAACGACTCACCCCCGATATCGATACAAATTACTTAATAGAGTTTTATAAGAAAGTTCAGAAGAGCAACATACACAACTTTGTGTAAAACATTCAAAAAGATTTAATTTTTTTTTTCTAAACACACATAAACGGAGTTGGTCGATAATAATCTTATCGGAAAAACACATTTTTGTTTAAATTTTTTTAACTCTCAATGATTATATAAACTCCTCTGCCCTTTTTCGATTTTTTTTTTATTCATAACATCTCAACTGGATATTCGGATGGATTGCAATAATTCGGATTTTTTTTTTTTTTGTTTTCTAATGAGAGAAATAATAACTTTTGCTGGTGTATTGGTATTTGGGCTTTTGAACCATAGGTCTTGAGGTTGGTTACTCTTGAGGCAGCCCATTACTTGAATCTTTGGGAGATCAAATTATTAAGGCCCAAGAAATTGAAAAAATGGGCGCCCATTTAATTTTATTTGTTCCCAAGGATGCCATAATCTATGAGCCCAAACTCTATGTTGAATATAATCATCCCCTGTATGTAGTTGGTGTCTCCATGAAAAACATATGCATAAAACAGAAATCATCCCCTATATGTAGTAGGTCTTTGTGAAATATATATTGTCTATATGAGATTGTCCCTTGGTCCATCGGTCTTGACACAAGGTTAGAATTACAATTTTTCCAGAGTGATATCTCACTAATGGCTTGGGTACCCCTAGAAGGTGGTCTTCTTTGCTTTTCACCTAAGCTATCAAGAAAGCCTTAAAATCAATCCTAGACAACTGTGAAGTTTCATAGGATCTTTTTGTTTAGCTGTAAGTAATCTGTATCTTCACAAATATGTCTATTTCACCGAGTCTCTCTCTGAAATAATGGTCAGATCGTCACGCCTTAAGGCAATTTAGACTCAACAATAGCAACTCGAGTGGTCGTTCTCCATCTACTTCTTCAAACTTTGGAATTTCTTCAAAGAGCTTGATAGAATCTTTTGTGAGGTAATAGATCTGTAAAGCCTCCTGTTGAGTTTGTCTACTTTCGTTTCTTTTAATTGATACATCCTATTCATATAGATATGCGACCAATTTGAAACACGAATCAAAAAAAAAAAAAAATACTATCTCTTGATAATTTTAGACAAATTTCTAGTTACTTTTTTAGGAGATTCATTTGATAACTAAAAACTACTCAACAATTGAAGATGCATAAAACTGAAAAAATGTGGGATGGGAGAGCAAGTGTGTGTGTGTAAGCATTAACAATTATAAAAAATACAAGGAAAATAAGTAGTTCACCAAACTAAATAATTGGGTTAATTCATTCTAATGGAATCTCTTACTCCTTTGATTTGGTATTACTTGGAGAAGAAAAAGAATACAACTCTCTTTGAATAAAATTGTTCATCTATCACGACGAGACAAGGGTTTACTTATTTATATACTAGAATAGTATGTTGTTACTTGCACGATATTGAGTGATTTGTAAAACAAAGAAAACATAGAATTAAGGAAGAAAACCTGCTTTGAGGGGGGTGAAAACCTCCAATGGCTCAATTCGAGAAGAATCGAATCTCTAAAACTTTCACAAAAAAGTTCAATACAATTTTCAACATATACACTTTATTGATAAAAAAATATTTAAATACAAGATAATAAAATTATCTTAATAACTATATTTAACCAATTATTCCATTATCTTAATAACCACCTAGAAAACTATCCACAAAATACTCTACCACTCTAACCTATTTACTAAAATAACTCCCTAATAACTACCTCAAATAATACATAAAAATATATTAAAAATGTGTACATAACATATGGTCCTCGTTATCATGATTAAGTGGTCCCCTAAATCAGGTAAAATATTTTTCTAGAATCCTTGGTTAGATGCTACTCCCTTAGGCACGATAATACAGTTGGTGGTTCGGTTTGTTTTCTTCTTCCCCAAAGTAAGGTTTATCGATGAAATCCCTCGTTCCCCTTCTTGAAGATCTCGTTGATCGTTGGGCCGATGAACCTTTTCTTTATTGGGCTGACCAATCCTAGCTAAGGTAAACCCTTTTTTTTTATGGGAAATTTGGAGGTCGGTCCTTATATAGACTTATTTGGATTTAAGTCCGTCAAGGAAACTTATTTGTTATGAAATCTATTTTTTTATCAATTTTACCATATTATCCATTCCCTTTAGAAATGAAATAAAATTAAAAATTAAAAACTCTTAAATCTTATGAGTTTGACTAACATTAAAATCTTTTCTCTCTCACATCTATCTATATCCATATATAGGTTAGAGTAATACTATTTACACTTAAATATTTGATCTAATTTGTTGACATAATGATGTGACTTCAGCAGAATCATTGGATTAACACCAAGTTATAATGTTTGATAGGTCTCACAATCAATCCAAAAGTCATAGTGAATTATGTCAATAAATTAGGTCTCAATAGCATTGTTCTATAGATTAAGAGTTTGACTAACATTAAAATTTTTCATATATATATAGTAACATTAAAAATAAAAAATAGTAACATTCAAATACAAAAAAAAAAGTTATTATTTGGATACAAAAAATAATACATTTAAACACAATAAAATAGTAACATTTAAACATAAAAAAATTAAAACATTCAATATTTATATTTTTAAAAAATAACAACAGTAACATATTCAACAAAAATAATAACATACTTAACAAAAATTGTAACATACTTAATAATAATTATTTCTCTCAAATTCAAATGCAAAAAATAGTACCATTCAAATACAAAAAATAGTAATATTCAAAAAAAAAAGTAACATTGAATATTAATATTTAGGAAAATAATAGTAGTAATATACTCAACAAAAATAATAACATGCTAAAAAATAATAATACATGAACAATAACATACTAAACAAAAGCAGTAACATGAACAGTAACATAATAAAAAAATAGTAACATGAATTTGAATTTTACTATTCAAATTCATTGTAACTTTTTTTTTATATTTGAATATTACTATTTTTTTTAATGTTACTATATATATATATACACACACACCTAACCTATATATGGATATAGATAGATATAAGAGAGGAAAAAATTTTAATATTAGTCAAACTCTTAATGTATATGTGAATATAGATAGATATGAGAGATAAAATATTAACTTCCTTTCAAGAAAGAGTATTTTTGAGATAAAAAAAAGTGGATTTAAGTCATTACATATAATTTTAAACATAGACTTAGTTTCTTATAAGTTTTTTGTCGAATTTATTTTCAAACAAATACATTTAAGGGGACTCACTTCTAATTTTTACTTTTTTCATTGCTAAACTAGGTTTGTCCTGCAACACTTGTACCAAATTGGCTAAGCATGCCAGCCTTGTTTGGGCTGGGCTATCTCTTTTCTCTGGTAAATATCACCAATAATTAAACTAGTGGTTCACTTGGGGGTGGGTGGGAGGGTTGGGGGGAGACCTCAAATCCAAACGGATATGTGGTCCTGGTCCATTTTCGACCACAAATCACAGTCCAGGAACCAAACACCACCACAATTTCACATAACAACATACTAGTTAGTATTTGATTTCTGTATGGTGGTGAGTTTACGTTCAGAATTAAATATAATACTTTTGCGTTCATTTTTAAAGACAATCTTGACCATCACGGTATCACCATTAAAACTCATAGCCGTCCACTTCAAATGGCAACAAACCCAGTTTTTCATCCTCGTACAAAGAACATAGCACTCCAACTCACATGCCAACATTACTTTTTTTTTTGCTTTATGTTTGTTTGACTCTTCTTGAAATGCTGCTTGAATCATACAGATGTTGCCAAATTTGTCATTCAAAAAAAATTAACCAATTATCCGAATTCGTTGTACCATGTTTCATCAATTAAAATATGAATATATCATCCCATTTACGATCAAATTCAAACTCTTGCGTTTAATTCATTCTTTTGCTTACTTTATTCTTGTTGAAGCCAATTTCTCGTCCACCTCTTCTCGTTGCAAGTCTAATCGAAGCCTCCTCAAGATAATTGCTCACCGCCGGATTTGGATAGTCAATTGAGTCATTATTTAATGAAATTGAGTTGAAATCTAGCNAAAGCATGATGCTCCTTTGAAAATTTTGTTACTGAAATTAATAATAACATGACGATGCATGAATGCATCGTGCAAAGTGCTCCTAAAGCGCTTATGCACAATACGCACATGTGTGCGTTCACCACAAAACACTGAACTTGGGCATACAAATATCCATTTGTCTTTTTTTTTTTTTTTTATAAATGTCAAGTAAATAGATATTGAATGTCTCTATTTAAATTTCACTTAAAGAACTTCTTTTAATCGATGTGAGATAGATATTTGTTTTTAAAAAGACTACATTTTTAATGGGAAAGTTTGAAAATTTTAAGCTTAATTATTTTATATAATAATTTTTTTAAAAATAATCTAGGAGGAGACTTTATGTGTTTAGCGATATTCGATCTAGGTCATGTATTGAGGTAATTAACTCCTAAAACGCTCAGGCAAACACACATAACTTTTTTGGGATGATATTTTACATCGCCATGTCGGGTTATGTTCTATTAAAATTTATGTTCTTATAGATTATATTTTTTTAGTGGGATATTACGTGTGAGAATTTAAAATCAAAAGGAAAAAGAATGAAGATCCCACACAAAAGCAATTATAATCCTTGTATTGTATTGTCACATTGGTTTTCATCATATTAACATCAACTCCAAATTTCCAAGAGCAGTCTACCTTCTAAAGGTTGCTTTGTTTTTATCTAATTGTTATAATGACATACATTACATGTCCAAAATGACATATTTGAAGATTTTCATTTCGAATCCCCTGGTTTTTGGGCTACAAACATGAAACATTCTCATTTTAGGCACCATCTATGATAAAAGAAAAAAGGAAAAATTTTAATGACACATTCTCTAGTTTACCATATCTTTAAGGACACCCCTTCTAATTTCTGAATCTTCAATTACACCATTTCTAGTTTAATTTAAACATCACTAACACCCCTACCATTAAACTATTATTTCTAACAAAATAAATTCATCTAAAATACCAAAAATGCCCCTACATAATCTCAAATAATTTTTTTTACATAAAATTTTATTAAAATTCGAGCTGTTAAAATAACAATTTTAGTAAATAATTTGTTAGTAAATACTAATTTTTTATTTACCAATTAGTAAATTTTTTTAAAAAAATCGAGCCTATTAAATTTTTTTTTTTACATATTAAAATTTGAGCTGATTTGAACTCTATCCAAATTGTTAGGGTAGATTAAAATTCTTTTTTGAGTCGATTATAATTTATATTTTTATCTTATTAAAATTTGTGTCAATTAAAATTTATATATTTTTATATATTAAAATTTAGCCTGATTAAAATTCAATGCGAATTAATTAAAATTTGATTTGAGTCGATTAAAAGTAATTTTTAATTGGCTCAAAAAAAATTTTAATTAGCCCAAATTCTAATACGTAAAAAAAATATAATTTTTAATTGACATAAATTTTAATATATAAAAAAATAAATTTTAATTAGTTTGAATCGAATTTTAATCGATTTGAATTTAATTACGTAAAAAAAATTAAAAAATAGAAGGAGTCTCATTGAAAATATACTTATCTAGAGGAGGTGTTATTGAAGATATGTTTATCTAGAAGGGGTGTGGATGAAGTTGGTCCTCAAATATATCATGAGCAATTTAGTAAAATTACATTTTACTTAATATTTTTAATCTGACAGGGGTGTCATTGAAGATTCAAAAACTATAAGAGGTGTCCTTGAAGATATGGTAAACTATAGGGGGTGTGGTTGAAATATTTTCAAGANTTATCTTATAGTCTATGGTAAATATAAATGCATCAAATCAAGATTTATGGCTACTACCAAATTTTTATATGGTATCAAAATATTTTTTTATGTAAATAAACAAAAAAGGATTATACACATCCAGACAGCCACACAACCCATTCCTGGACCATCCCCTTGTTAGTTTTTTTTTTTTGGTTCAACAATTATGGATATTTGAATTAACATAATACACCTCGACTAATCAGTTCTCTGATTAAAGACAAGTCATTCACACCAAAATTAAGGTATTCATAATAAATAAATCTCTTACTAACTACTTTATTTTATAGCTGCTTTCTCTGATGCACTTTTATTATAATGGAAAGCATGATGCTCCTTTGAAAATTTTGTTACTGAAATTAATAATAACATGACGATGCATGAATGCATCGTGCAAAGTGCTCCTAAAGCGCTTATGCACAATACGCACATGTGTGCGTTCACCACAAAACACTGAACTTGGGCATACAAATATCCATTTGTCTTTTTTTTTTTTTTTTATAAATGTCAAGTAAATAGATATTGAATGTCTCTATTTAAATTTCACTTAAAGAACTTCTTTTAATCGATGTGAGATAGATATTTGTTTTTAAAAAGACTACATTTTTAATGGGAAAGTTTGAAAATTTTAAGCTTAATTATTTTATATAATAATTTTTTTAAAAATAATCTAGGAGGAGACTTTATGTGTTTAGCGATATTCGATCTAGGTCATGTATTGAGGTAATTAACTCCTAAAACGCTCAGGCAAACACACATAACTTTTTTGGGATGATATTTTACATCGCCATGTCGGGTTATGTTCTATTAAAATTTATGTTCTTATAGATTATATTTTTTTAGTGGGATATTACGTGTGAGAATTTAAAATCAAAAGGAAAAAGAATGAAGATCCCACACAAAAGCAATTATAATCCTTGTATTGTATTGTCACATTGGTTTTCATCATATTAACATCAACTCCAAATTTCCAAGAGCAGTCTACCTTCTAAAGGTTGCTTTGTTTTTATCTAATTGTTATAATGACATACATTACATGTCCAAAATGACATATTTGAAGATTTTCATTTCGAATCCCCTGGTTTTTGGGCTACAAACATGAAACATTCTCATTTTAGGCACCATCTATGATAAAAGAAAAAAGGAAAAATTTTAATGACACATTCTCTAGTTTACCATATCTTTAAGGACACCCCTTCTAATTTCTGAATCTTCAATTACACCATTTCTAGTTTAATTTAAACATCACTAACACCCCTACCATTAAACTATTATTTCTAACAAAATAAATTCATCTAAAATACCAAAAATGCCCCTACATAATCTCAAATAATTTTTTTTACATAAAATTTTATTAAAATTCGAGCTGTTAAAATAACAATTTTAGTAAATAATTTGTTAGTAAATACTAATTTTTTATTTACCAATTAGTAAATTTTTTTAAAAAAATCGAGCCTATTAAATTTTTTTTTTTACATATTAAAATTTGAGCTGATTTGAACTCTATCCAAATTGTTAGGGTAGATTAAAATTCTTTTTTGAGTCGATTATAATTTATATTTTTATCTTATTAAAATTTGTGTCAATTAAAATTTATATATTTTTATATATTAAAATTTAGCCTGATTAAAATTCAATGCGAATTAATTAAAATTTGATTTGAGTCGATTAAAAGTAATTTTTAATTGGCTCAAAAAAAATTTTAATTAGCCCAAATTCTAATACGTAAAAAAAATATAATTTTTAATTGACATAAATTTTAATATATAAAAAAATAAATTTTAATTAGTTTGAATCGAATTTTAATCGATTTGAATTTAATTACGTAAAAAAAATTAAAAAATAGAAGGAGTCTCATTGAAAATATACTTATCTAGAGGAGGTGTTATTGAAGATATGTTTATCTAGAAGGGGTGTGGATGAAGTTGGTCCTCAAATATATCATGAGCAATTTAGTAAAATTACATTTTACTTAATATTTTTAATCTGACAGGGGTGTCATTGAAGATTCAAAAACTATAAGAGGTGTCCTTGAAGATATGGTAAACTATAGGGGGTGTGGTTGAAATATTTTCAAGAAAAAAAAAAGAGTTAATAGCACTTTTGGATTTTAAAATATGTATTTTTTGTTAGTTTACTCGCTAATGTATCAATTTAGTTCTTAAATTATTCAATTCATGTCATTTTGATCCCTACATAGACGAATCATTGAATTTTTTATAGAATGATCACGTGTTGAACACGTGATACAGTCTAAAAAAATGACATATGGTTACTTTTGTCAAAAAATTTAACACCCCTTCTATGTAGAAACCAAAATAACACATATGAAACACTTAAAGATCAAATTGACAAAATTAATATATTAAGGACTAAACTAACAAAAAATCATACTTTAAGCACCAAAAATACTATTAGTCCTAACAAAAAAAACCCACTTGAGATAAATTTAGAATTTATATTTTTCATTTTAATTCCACTTTGAGTATTTAATCTTTCATTTGTTTAAGTATCTTTCCAACCCACTACAAATTTCTTCTTTTGTTTATGATAAACCTTCGATGTAAGATTATTATTGTTGAGACGTGCGTTGCACGTGAGGATATTTAAATAATAATTTTTTAATTAAAAATTTAAATTATATGTAGTTAAATTGAATAGTAAATTGTTTGTATTATAGCAATATAATATTTTTGCATACCAAAAAATCAAATATGACATATTTGACCATGTAATGCAATTCGATAGCTACATGTATATAGTAATAGAATATAAATTGAATTTTATTTCCTCATATAAATATAAACATAAATATGTAAAATCGTACTAAGTGTACTATTAATAAATGAGTTCAAAAAAAATTAGAAGTCAATTTTTATTAATAAAAGAATTTAAAAGAACTCAGAAGTCAAATAAGTGTTAAAAAATAAAAATTCGATAAAAATAATAAAAAATTTAGAAGTCAAATAATTCTAATAAAAGAGCCCAAATAAACTTAAAAGTCAAATAGGTATAAAAAAATAAAAATAATATGTGAATATCATTAATTTTATAATAATTAAGAATAAAATAAAAAATTAAAAAATTTTCACTGTAAAAAATTATTCTATTACCGATTAAAAGAAATTTGATACTGTACTAATAAATTATTCTATTACTGTAGATTTTTACTTAAATGATTTATAGTCATTAGTTTCGAAAATAATAAAATAATATAAAAAAAAATAAAAATTATATGTATCTTTATTTTTATTGGATAAGATCCTCACAACAGAGTCACAATACATAGCGAACGATCTATAGATCTGAAAGGTATTACTAGCTTAAAGATCTCCATCTTAAACTTGTTGGGACCCACTAAATCAACGTCATAGGTGCTACGTTCGGCCACGTGTGCACTGACACACTACAAAATGGTACGAGCTTTTACTCACAATGCTCTCTCTCAAATGAAAATTGGATTCCTTTTTTATATTTTTACCAATTTGCAATTTATTAATATATTTTTTTTGTGGGGTTAAAGACTGATATAAGAGAGGTCTCCATCTAAATCCTCCATTATAAGGCGTGAAAAGGAGTGGGAGCTTGATTGGTGGAGCTGTGTCTGTGAGCTCTTGACCCTTTCCGTCGAGACGGTGGCGGAGACGGCGGTGTTGGTGGTGGCGCTAGTGGTTCCGGCATATAAGCTGTAAAATCATGATTGATAAGGCTATCTAGTGTTTCTCATTAAACGATGTCCGAGAAAATGATCGGCATTTTCTGGTTTGGCCTTGTTTCTCAGATCTGATCCTTTCCAGCTCCGATCTGGACGTTTCGGGGATCTCTCGGAGCTCTTTCTTTCTCTCTATCTCTCATCAATCGAGTCGCCTTTCACGCTAACTTCGCAGGTTCGTTCTTTCTCTTCCTTTTTGTTGCTTTATCATGGTTGCATTTCATGCGATTTCGTTCTGATCGTAACATTCTACTTTAGGAGCTATAAATGTTGGTATTTTTTTTTACCCGTTTGTGTCTCGGTTTTCAATTTTTGTATAGATCACAATGTAGGAGTGTTGTGATGAATTCGGATTGAGATTTTTTTTTGGGGGATAAATAAGTTTCATTGAGTTTGATCTGGTTGCTATTGCGGTTATTAGGGTACATTTGGAACGCTACGATCATTTTCTTATACTATAGCAGGCATTGTGCGTGTATGTGTTTTTAGATGGATTTTTGAAGATTTTTCTTCCAGAAACTCGAAAATAATGAANTGGTTGCTATTGCGGTTATTAGGGTACATTTGGAACGCTACGATCATTTTCTTATATTATAGCAGGCATTGTGCGTGTATGTGTTTTTAGATGGATTTTTGAACATTTTTCTTCCAGAAACTCGAAAATAATGAAAAATAATAACAGAAAGTTATGGTCTCTGGTAGATCAGGAGAAACTGTGTGAATGACGATTTATTTTTCCTTTTATTAGTGAAATTGTGTCATTGTCACCGTCTGTTTAGGTCAATGTCATATTTATATGCTAAGCTAATCTGATTTATGTGTCTGAATGAATACAAGTTTTTGTTGTAGATCAAGATACCCAAAGTGAAAATCATTGTCTGAGATCTGTTTTGTTGAAAAGCTTGAGTAACGCAATTGTTTACTGCAACCATCCTGCTTAATTCTAGATTTTGTAAAGCACAGTTTTTTATTATCTTGTGCTCAATTCTTTTTTAATGCCCTTACAGTTAAACAATTGGAAGCAAGGCTTGATTGGTATGTTGAAATGTCGTTCAAAGGCATTGTACGGGAGCTGAGGGAGATCAAAGATGGAATTGGGAGCATATCTAGGAGAGGGGTGGAAAGGAAGCATTGGCGCAACCGAACCCGCTCACATATTGCCCCTGATGTGGCCCCATCTGAACCCATTCAACAAGGGCAGTGGGCGAACTTACCACCAGAATTGCTTTTGGATATAATCCGAAGAGTCGAAGAGAGTGAGACATCCTGGCCTGCGCGGGCTGTTGTTGTGTTTTGTGCGGCCGTTTGTAAGTCGTGGAGGGACATTACAAAGGAGATTGTTAAGACTCCAGAGGAATGTGGAAGGCTGACTTTCCCCATTTCATTGAAGCAGGTAACTTTACTTAATCTGCTTAGTCACTTGTTTTTATCTGTGTTAATTACAATCATATGTAACTGTTTTATTTTGTCTTCCTATTTAAATAGCCGGGGCCACGTGATTCACCAATCCAGTGTTTTATTAGGAGGTGTAGGGCAACTTCCATTTATCGTCTGTACTTTGGTCTGATCCCATGTAAGTCATATTATTCTGTTGTGATTGTTTCCTCATTCCATTGAATTCTGTTTTTCTTTTTCTCTTTTGCTTCAGTTGCCTGAATAAAAATCCTATGAAATTGTTAACCAGTGTGCTCTAGTATTGTTGCTTTGATATTCACCTGTAAATGCTTGGAATTACTAATTAGTGCAACACAGTTTAGTTGCTAGCTATCTCACTTAGAAACTCCATTTCTTATAATTGTAAATACCTTCTCATAAAAAGAATGCACAGTGATTTGGTAAGCTCATCACGGCATTGCCTTGTGGCTTTTGCCATTTATATATTGATATTACATTGAAGAGATTTGTAACAGGTCTAGGATTCATGTTGCTACTTATATGAATTTATAAACATGTGCATATACACATATATGAATCTTGGCTAAATGTTTTATTTAGATTACCTCATTGAATGCATTGGTGAGGTTTATTAACTAAACTCTTGCTGAATAACAGCTGAGGAGGACAATGACAAATTATTGTTGGCAGCCAAGAAGATAAGAAGGGCAACGGGTACGGATTTTGTTGTATCTTTGGTTGCAGATGATTTTTCGCGAGCCAGCAACACATATGTTGGAAAACTGAAGTAAGTCTGTGCAACTAAATTGGTTTATTCTTTTTGTGTGATGAACTGGCCATTGATTGCCCTAACAACAATGGAAACATTTTTCCCAGGTCTAATTTTCTGGGCACCAAGTTCACCATATATGACAGCCAGCCTCCAAATGATGCTGCCGTTCAACAAAATAGTCGGTCAGGCCGAAGATTCCATGCTAAGCAAGTATCCCCAAGAGTGCCTGCTTGTAACTACAGTATAGCCACCCTTTCCTATGAGCTTAATGTCCTCCGCACAAGAGGGCCTAGGAGAATGCATTGTTCCATGAATTCTATTCCTGTCTCTTCAATTCAGGAAGGAGGCACCGCCCCAACACCAACATTGTTCCCACACTCCTTTGACGAGAAGTTTTCTCCCTCACCAGCCTCAAAAGGAAAGGAGCCACTCACAGATTGTAGCTCCCCAAGCCTTTCCCATTGGCCTGTATCAGCGCCACTGATTCTAAAAAACAAGGCCCCCAGATGGCATGACCAGTTACAGTGCTGGTGCCTTAATTTCAAAGGTCGTGTTACTGTAGCTTCTGTTAAGAATTTCCAGCTGGTGGCATCTGTTGATCCATCTCTCAATGTGTCTGCTGCTGAACAAGAAAAAGTAATTTTACAATTTGGAAAGATCGGAAAAGACATCTTCACCATGGATTATCGGTACCCACTCTCTGCTTTCCAAGCCTTTGCAATCTGCTTGAGCAGCTTTGACACGAAGCCTGCCTGTGAGTGACATCCATGTTGGATGTGTATCATGATCATCTCTGGCGTAGATTCTTCCATGAAGTCTGAAGTATGTTAACTCTCAGTTTGGCAATATATCATAACCACGAATCTTAGNTAAGCAAGTATCCCCAAGAGTGCCTGCTTGTAACTACAGTATAGCCACCCTTTCCTATGAGCTTAATGTCCTCCGCACAAGAGGGCCTAGGAGAATGCATTGTTCCATGAATTCTATTCCTGTCTCTTCAATTCAGGAAGGAGGCACCGCCCCAACACCAACATTGTTCCCACACTCCTTTGACGAGAAGTTTTCTCCCTCACCAGCCTCAAAAGGAAAGGAGCCACTCACAGATTGTAGCTCCCCAAGCCTTTCCCATTGGCCCGTATCAGTGCCACTGATTCTAAAAAACAAGGCCCCCAGATGGCATGACCAGTTACAGTGCTGGTGCCTTAATTTCAAAGGTCGTGTTACTGTAGCTTCTGTTAAGAATTTCCAGCTGGTGGCATCTGTTGATCCATCTCTCAATGTGTCTGCTGCTGAACAAGAAAAAGTAATTTTACAATTTGGAAAGATCGGAAAAGACATCTTCACCATGGATTATCGGTACCCACTCTCTGCTTTCCAAGCCTTTGCAATCTGCTTGAGCAGCTTTGACACGAAGCCTGCCTGTGAGTGACATCCATGTTGGATGTGTATCATGATCATCTCTGGCGTAGATTCTTCCATGAAGTCTGAAGTATGTTAACTCTCAGTTTGGCAATATATCATAACCACGAATCTTAGCCGTGTTGCTAGTCGGTCTTATCTAATAGCAGTTTAGATTTGAAAAAAAAAAAAGAAGTGTGATTCTATGTGCCAAGTGTTTAATCTATGTTTGAAAATTTCTGAAATACTTCTGTTGATCTTCTTGTTGTCATTGATATTTGATTAAAGAGGGAGAACAGGGATTATTGTCTATGCGTAGCACTCTATGGGTTACTATTAATTGATGCCTGTTTGCCAATGATCAAGACAATATTACCTGAATCCTGCCCAATCAACTGGCTTTCAACCTAATGTTCAAGGAAATCCCAGGTGCCCAACATTCATTGCATTATAGTGTAATTAGAATGCCAGAATATTCATCTTTGATTTCTGGGTTATGTTAGCCAAAGTGGAAGTGGAGATTTGTTATTTGGTTTGTTGAGCAATTCATCAGGTTTCTGAGAGGACATAGCAATGAACTTTTGACTAAGCCTCCCCTGCTTCTTGAAAGCACAGGAAACTCAGAAGAACTGCTCATTTTTCGCAGCATGATTTTCATCTTTGACAGAACATATGAATGACATTTTAATGAGCAACAACCTGATTTTAATTGAGGTCTCTGTTGAAACTTTCTTGCCTGCCAGCTATTGCCAATAAATAGCCACATTTTAATCAGGACAAGAGTACCAGATGCTACATAGAAGAGTGAAATCTCTGTTTGATCGAGAACTGCTAGCGATGCATGCACATCACCCATCATTACCCTAANCCCTTTCTTCTTCCCTTCTCATTCCTAATTCTTCCCTAATACGATTTACATCAATTTGGTATCAGAGCTAATACAATCTACATCAAATTGATGGGTGCCGATTCAAATTAATTGTCTCCTATCTAGCAAGGAAAAAAATTTAATATCCTAAAAACTAGAACTTTGCATAATATTATTGATACAAGAAAGTGATGGAATCGTATCTTAACAAGGTAAACAAATTAAAAGAATTTAGTGAGAGAATCAACTCAGCGAGAAGTTAATGAACAATCCAGAAACAAAAAAATATGAGCAGAGCCTTTATTGCTTACCGAGGATCATTTCCAGATAATGAGATATACACCCAACCAGTGGGCTTGACAAGTTCCACAGTTTTGATCTCCTAGACACCATTGCAAAATAAAAACCAAACTGATTATCTCATGAACTTTTTCAACATAAACAGGTGTATGTACTTGTGCGATTTCACTTCCATACTGTTAATTTTGACTTCTAATTATCACCTAACCTCCTGGTATAATTATACATGCAGTACAAAGATAAGTGCATGGAAGAGAGTTCCTGTCTAAGCTAAAGAAGTGAAGTCACCTTCAAGTTGTGAAAACCATCACCGGCCCGAACTGAGATCTTACTAGGGGTGTAGCTCTCATCAAGCTTGAAATCGACATAGAGAACAACTAACTGAAAAAATCAAAGGGAAAAAAAAAAAAAAACAAATTCCATCACATAAACATAGTAAAAAACCAAGAAAGCAACACACCAAAATGGGATCTAGTATTATATATGATTTCTTTCATACTTGGAGTTTAACTTTCTTCTGAAACTGAATATTAACAAGATGCGGTTGAGCTCCATCCGATCTATATCCAAAGAAAACANTATATATATAGGATTTGTGAACTCCTTATATATATAGGGGATACATATTTGTTGGAGATTAGACTTTAATTATTGATTATAAATCTTCTTCCTAAAATTCTTTCTCTATTCTTATCCCCTTCTTCTTCTTTTCTCATCCCTTTTTTCTTCCCTTCTCATTCCTAATTCTTCCCTAATACGATTTATATCAATTTGGTATCAGAGCTAATACAATCTACATCAAATTGATGGGTGCCGATTCAAATTAATTGTCTCCTATCTAGAAAGGAAAAAAATTTAATATCCTAAAAACTAGAACTTTGCATAATATTATTGATACAAGAAAGTGATGGAATCGTATCTTAACAAGGTAAACAAATTAAAAGAATTTAGTGAGAGAATCAACTCAGCGAGAAGTTAATGAACAATCCAGAAACAAAAAAATATGAGCAGAGCCTTTATTGCTTACCGAGGATCATTTCCAGATAATGAGATATACACCCAACCAGTGGGCTTGACAAGTTCCACAGTTTTGATCTCCTAGACACCATTGCAAAATAAAAACCAAACTGATTATCTCATGAACTTTTTCAACATAAACAGGTGTATGTACTTGTGCGATTTCACTTCCATACTGTTAATTTTGACTTCTAATTATCACCTAACCTCCTGGTATAATTATACATGCAGTACAAAGATAAGTGCATGGAAGAGAGTTCCTGTCTAAGCTAAAGAAGTGAAGTCACCTTCAAGTTGTGAAAACCATCACCGGCCCGAACTGAGATCTTACTAGGGGTGTAGCTCTCATCAAGCTTGAAATCGACATAGAGAACAACTAACTGAAAAAATCAAGGAAAAAAAAAAAAAAACAAATTCCATCACATAAACATAGTAAAAAACCAAGAAAGCAACACACCAAAATGGGATCTAGTATTATATATGATTTCTTTCATACTTGGAGTTTAACTTTCTTCTGAAACTGAATATTAACAAGATGCGGTTGAGCTCCATCCGATCTATATCCAAAGAAAACAGTTTCATTATGTGTGCGTGTATATAAATAAAACAACCCGTATACAGAGTATATATTATATATCAATTTANTGATTTCTTTCATACTTGGAGTTTAACTTTCTTCTGAAACTGAATATTAACAAGATGCGGTTGAGCTCCATCCGATCTATATCCAAAGAAAACAGTTTCATTATGTGTGCGTGTATATAAATAAAACAACCCGTATACAGAGTATATAATATATATCAATTTAGAGAGANAAAGAAAACAGTTTCATTATGTGTGCGTGTATATAAATAAAACAACCCGTATACAGAGTATATATTATATATCAATTTAGAGAGAGAGAGGGGGGGGGGAATTTTAGTTACTGCCAGTAGGTATCGAGGTTGTCATCGCAGAGGGAAAGAACACCATTGCCAGGCTTGCAAGAGCTGACGCTCCAAGCGGCCTTTTTGGCCATCTCGCGGAGGTCATCGTCAACAACCAGCTGCTGGTTCCCTCCAATCAGCTTCCCTTCTTCCTCTCCATCCGATTCCGTCGCCATATATTACGGCCCTCTGATTCTACCCAATAATCCTCTTTACCAGTAGGTAGATACTTACAAATTCTATATAATACCTCGATCTTGAGCTAATATAACACCTCGATTCTGATACAATATTTAATATTCAAACCCTAATCCACANTTGGAGATCCAAAAGTATGATCAATGATGCCATTTATTAAAATAAAATCATGTTCTATTATGTCATTCATAATAGAATATGAATTTTACATTCAAAATTCATGTTATATTATGTTATTTATTGAAATAAAATCAAAAATAAAAAAAAAAAAATTTTTAAAAAAAACATAGTATATATTTATACTGTCTATTAGAACAAAACTAAAAAAATTAAACAAGAAATCAAATTGTAATGAACACAATAACTTTTAGATTTAATTGGGATAATTTGGTATTTTAATTTGATCATTGAAACAACTAAATTAAATTATAATATACAATATAATTGTATACTAATTACAAATTTTTAAGAAAAAATTGAATTTTTATTTCAATAAATAATACAATAGAACATAAATTTTGACTGTAAAATTTAAAATATTTTATATTTTATATTTGATTGAAATATTTTTGATCTAATTATAATATTTTAAACTTAAAGGATTTAAGTATTATATATCTACAAACTTTAGGGGAGTCTAAGTGTAATTTATTAACGGATATATTTACAACAGGGCCTAATTGTTACGCATGTACAAACTTTAAGAAGTCTTGTATAATATTTCAAATGTTAAGAGATCTAAATGATTAAGTGACAAATCTAAGGGGTCTAAATATAATTCTCCCAAAAAGAAAAATAACAATTACTGCCGCACATTTGCAAAGGCTTGCAATCAGATGACCTAATATCCAATTCAAATAGTTCACCTTTTGGGCAATTGATCCAAGCATCATATTGAGTACCATGAAACCAGTAGGGAGGACCAACTTACCGAGGACCTCACCTTTGACTCAGCAACAACCTCCCTGGTTCCACAGTTTTTGAACCCTTGCCCAACAGGAATGGAGGGCGGCATAGAGTGCAAACCCTAGTTTTTTTCCCTGTAGAGATGTGGTAATCATGGAACATATGGGATTATGGTAAAACAGAAACTTCAAATAAAAGTTGCACCAATGAGACTTCACAAAAGCTCGGTAGACTATGAAAAGAGTTTGACAGTCTATAATGGCGAAGCATGAACTCGTGTTGCCATCTTCTAACTGTCAAAGAGTTATGTCAATGCTAAATGATGAGCTAAAACAAACATAAGCAAAATGTTGACGGCAATCATATAATGCTAGTATTCAAAAACTGCAAAATATTAATGAGCTTTATATGTACATAAGGGAAAAAATCAATGCAGAATATCTATTTAGCNGCTAAATGATGAGCTAAAACAAACATAAGCAAAATGTTGACGGCAATCATATAATGTTAGTATTCAAAAACTGCAAAAATATTAATGAGCTTTATATGTACATAAGGGAAAAAATCAATGCAGAATATCTATTTAGCAAACTATGTAAAACTGTACATTCTTATCATCCACAAGCCTGCAAAATGCCTGACGAATAAAATAACATAGAAGGCCTTTTGGTTAGGAGAAAGTCTTACCAAGGCATGGTACATGCTATGTACGGAAGATGAGAACTAGAAGACACCACAGGGTCCCAAATGATACCTTTGAGCCTACTTTTTCTTTTTTGGGGCCAAAGAACTGGGCATTGAGAACTTTGATATTTTCCCCAAAAATCGAGAAGCCTTGGAAGATTTTTTGTCCTGTTTAGGTTGGTCGCAAGAGTCTCTAGGGAAATCAAGATCAGATTCCGGGCGTTCCTGCACATCCTTATATTCAATGTCTCTCAAGAGTCGGAGCAATTCCAAGGCGCTCATCTGCCCTTTGTCATTCCCATTGATGGATATACTGACGAGGGCAGGGATAACACCTTCATCCATGATCAACTGACAATACTGATCACGTTGTGAGCATAAGGAAAGGAGAACACCAACTGCATGCTCTTGGTCCTCGTGGCTGTCAATTTCAAGTAGTTTAGCAATGGAAGCAAGGCATCCATCAGTTTCAGCAACAGCTACCCTAGCATCTTCGTTATCACACAAATTTTCCAAGATTGCTATGCTATATCTTGCAAGAGTAACATCTTCTAAAAAAGGAACCAGTTTAGGGATAACCTCCAACGATACAATGAGGGCATGTATTTCACTGTTTAAGGTCATATTGTACAGTATTTTAATGGCTGCTTCCTGGAATTTTCTCATCTGAGAGTCAAAGATCTTTAGAATGCAAGCGAGCACACCGGAAGCTGCAATTTTTGATCGACAGTTCTGATGTTGGGACACTACCTCAATTATGGCAAGAGCTTCTTCAGTTACTTCTAAATCAAGAAATGATGCTAATAGTCCATATGCATCTTCATCTAAGTATTGCATCCTGCTTCTGCGCAAATAACCACAAATTAAATTAATATGGAAGGAAGGTGAAAATCATATTTCCCCTACACCATGTTGCTGACAAAATAATACTCGAAAAAAATCTGAATATAGTCAGCTTTTCATTATTCTGAAGTCTAAGTGAATAGACATTTTCAGTGGAGAACAATGCCTCTATTATACGAACACTATGCACAACTGAAACATGTAGGAAGAACCAATTACCTGCACTTACTTAGAAAAGCTAACAGCAACAGGCACCCACTTCTCTGAGCTTTTAAATCATGCTTGTCATATGCTTCCTTCAAAAATCTAAGAAGTTTTTTGAATGAACTCTCAGATAGCATCACATTGCAAGCTTGATCATCATGCTTCAAATTGCTTTCGACATCTTCAACCACCTTGCATTGAGATTCCCAGGGAAGTACATCAAGGTCAAACATTATTTCCATATGCGTTTCAAGTGTATTTTCACCAGATTGAAACCTGTGTGCACCATCATCTGTCGTTGCTGAAATAAAACTTATACCGTCTGCAATCCTAACACGTGAGGAGTCTGTGCTGTGACTGGTATCCAAAGATCCAAGAGATATATTGCTAAGATCTACAGGAAGACAAAGATCATCTATAGAACTGCTCAAGCTAGCAATGGAAGTGGAAGATGTCTCCCAGGATTGAACTGATGCTGGCAGCATATATGGGTCAGAAATGGAGATTCCATGCACCATACACCACTTTGAAATTAAGTCCTTCATGGCAGTATTTGGGGTCACTGACAAGTTGGCAAGCTTCCTTTGAGTCTTTGGACATGTATCATGACCTTCATTGAACCACTTCTTTATCCAAAACCTTTCAAATGTTTGCCCAGAAGCAATGACAACAGGATCATACATCAACCTGAATGATATTGGGCACTTGAATTCTTCTGGGGGCACGGGACTCCTCAACATGTCAGTTTGTGCCTCATCCGTGATATGTGTTAGACGAGATTCCATATGAATAGATTGGTCACAAGAGCTTGCAATTGAAAAAGAATCTTCATGCTGCACACGAGCATTCTCTGTTTGCTCTCTCACGATTAATTTTCCGTACTTCTTTAATAGATTAAAAAAGAATAACAATATCTGCTTCTTTGCTTGCTCACCAGCTCCAACTTTATCGAGCAGCTTTCTAATAGATCGTTTCTCTATCAACAGAGCCTTTTGGGATGTAATATGAAGCTTGACAGAAGCAAATTTGATATACTCTATAGCAGATTCTTCTATTGAATCATTTGCAGATGCATATTGCTGGAGTAGTGCTCGCAAAACTTTCCCAGCCTCTTCTTCGTGTGCGTCCAAGTTAAAGGTTGCGCCCCTAAGATCAGAAATTAACTTAGAGATCTGCAAAAGGCATTCAAATTGTCAATTGCAAGACAAAACGGAGGCTAAACTCCGGCATTTTCTTCCCCCTTCCACAAAACAAAATAAAAACAAACAAATACTGGAAACTATAGAACAACAAAGAAACTCCTCAGGAAGTGAATGGCCACAATGCGTTAGGATGATGAAGACATACATCAAGGATGCAGCAAAATTGGTCACCTTCATGGTTTCGTCATTACGAGTTCATGGTTTTGGTTGCGCATGAGAAGGAACATACACTANATTCAAAATTCATGTTATATTATGTTATTTATTGAAATAAAATCAAAAATAAAAAATTATTTTTTTTTAAAAAAACATAGTATATATTTATACTGTCTATTAGAACAAAACTAAAAAAATTAAACAAGGAATCAAATTGTAATGAACACAATAACTTTCAGATTTAATTGGGATAATTTGGTATTTTAATTTGATCATTGAAACAACTAAATTAAATTATAATATACAATATAATTGTATACTAATTACAAATTTTTAAGAAAAAATTGAATTTTTATTTCAATAAATAATATAATAGAACATAAATTTTGGTTGTAAAATTTAAAATATTTTGTATTTTATATTTGATTGAAATATTTTTGATCTAATTATAATATTTTAAACTTAAAGGATTTAAGTATTATATATCTACAAACTTTAGGGGAGTCTAAGTGTAATTTAATAACGGATATATTTACAACAGGGACCTAATTGTTACGCATGTACAAACTTTAAGAAGTCTTGTATAATATTTCAAATGTTAGGAGAAATGTTAGGAGATCTAAATGATTAAGTGACAAATCTAAGGGGTCTAAATATAATTCTCCCAAAAAGAAAAATAACAATTACAGCCGCACATTTGCAAAGGCTTGCAATCAGATGACCTAATATCCAATTCAAATAGTTCACCTTTTGGGCAATTGATCCAAGCATCATATTGAGTACCATGAAACCAGTAGGGAGGACCAACTTACCGAGGACCTCACCATTGACTCAGCAACAACCTCCCTGGTTCCACAGTTTTTGAACCCTTGCCCAACAGGAATGGAGGGCGGCATAGAGTGCAAACCCTAGTTTTTTTCCCTGTAGAGATGTGGTAATCATGGAACATATGGGATTATGGTAAAACAGAAACTTCAAATAAAAGTTGCACCAATGAGACTTCACAAAAGCTCGGTAGACTATGAAAAGAGTTTGACAGTCTATAATGGCGAAGCATGAACTCGTGTTGCCATCTTCTAACTGTCAAAGAGTTATGTCAATGCTAAATGATGAGCTAAAACAAACATAAGCAAAATGTTGACGGCAATCATATAATGNCTATCAACAGAGCCTTTTGGGATGTAATATGAAGCTTGACAGAAGCAAATTTGATATACTCTATAGCAGATTCTTCTATTGAATCATTTGCAGATGCATATTGCTGGAGTAGTGCTCGCAAAACTTTCCCAGCCTCTTCTTCGTGTGCGTCCAAGTTAAAGGTTGCGCCCCTAAGATCAGAAATTAACTTAGAGATCTGCAAAAGGCATTCAAATTGTCAATTGCAAGACAAAACGGAGGCTAAACTCCGGCATTTTCTTCCCCCTTCCACAAAACAAAATAAAAACAAACAAATACTGGAAACTATAGAACAACAAAGAAACTCCTCAGGAAGTGAATGGCCACAATGCGTTAGGATGATGAAGACATACATCAAGGATGCAGCAAAATTGGTCACCTTCATGGTTTCGTCATTATGAGTTCATGGTTTTGGTTGCGCATGAGAAGGAACATACACTAAACAAGCTAGCATCAGAAGCACAAAAAACAGGGAAAGAAACAAATATTCATTTCATCATATTCAAAATGGGTATGTGCTAGATTGAAAAGGAAACTATGTGCCTGGAAAGTTATTAATCGCTCAGAAACTGATANTAAACAAGCTAGCATCAGAAGCACAAAAAACAGGGAAAGAAACAAATATTCATTTCGTCATATTCAAAATGGGTATGTGCTAGATTGAACAGGAAACTATGTGCCTGGAAAGTTATTAATCGCTCAGAAACTGAAATGCAAAACAAATTCCTGCCATTTTACAAAAGACCTGAGTGTCATATTCATTCATTCATAGTTAAAAACTAGGTTTTAAGAGGATTAGTCTATACAATGTGACATTTTATTATTCATAAGTGTAAGATAAGATACCATTTATACTTAAAATGGAGTTGTGAACTTTTTCCAATGCTCCACCCACAGCAAAAAAAAGAAGATATAATTGTGACACTCTAAACTAGTTTTCTGCATCTACTAAACTCGGACACGTATGATACAAGTCAGTCCCAAGTTACAGGTATTTCACATTTGAAACTTTCAAAGTAAAAGATTCAACTTTGATTATTAGGTTCCATGGGAAGATCCCAATGCTCTCATATATTCGACCAAATTATTAATATGCTTCAATGAAAAATGTTGAAACAATCCATGAAAAATGTGAAGATGAAAATGTGGATACTGCCCAAAGCTGCCAATGTAAAATAGAACAACAATTTCAGTTTACTGAAAAAAAAAACAACAAAGTCAATTTTGAACGGTTGCTCAAAATTAGAACAGAGAATAGTCATATTATTGAAAACAGAAAGACACGTAAATCAAATTATATTGCGTCCACCCATAAGTGAAAACATAAACGAGAAACAAATTTTAGAAGGGCATGTCATTTCACCAACCTCCGCAGCCAACATTACTGGAACATTATTTTGAATCTGGCTTAAACTATGCTCCAATAAGTTTCTGGACTTTTTACATCTTGACAGTATCACATCACCTGTTAGTGCCTGAAAAGACTAGTTAGATGAAGTATCAATATCAAAATGACAACGAATTACTAATGATTTCAGGTATATGATGGACAAAGAAGAAGCATAAACCACATTATTTTCTACAACTTATTTATCACTCTGTCACACAGTAGTAAGTCACCAAGAGGCAGGCTCTGTAAAAGGATGCAACAATAAAAATTTGAAGATGTAAATTGCATCAATCCCTCCTATTTCATATATTGGATGCCTTGCAAAAGCATTTCTCAAATTCTTCCTTCAACTTTCTGATAGCTTATCGCACAAAACCTTAGGTAATGTTTAAGAAAAAGTAGATTAGCTAAAGGTCAACTAATTTTATTATTGGCTGGTGCGTGTTGAAGTCATTAATTCAAAGCAAATCAAATCTGCATAGTAAATTTGAAAGAAAACAAGCCCTTAATTTCTATTAATTTAGACCAACTCAATGTTATTTTTCCTCTGAACCAAATAATACAAGAGGTAGAACATGGCCTGAACTACTTTTGGATATTCTCAAACATGCAATAAAACTAAACAAATCACTACAGGTGCTAAAACTCAAGTGGCATCCGGAGAGTGTCTTTATGCATAAGGTGTTCAAACTCCAAAAAAAAACCTGTTTTTACAGAATACTTACTGACGATGCTCTCATTGGTACCCCAAACAATCCCATCCCTCAAAAAAAGTNCAAGTGGCATCCGGAGAGTGTCTTTATGCATAAGGTGTTCAAACTCCAAAAAAAAAACTGTTTTTACAGAATACTTACTGACGATGCTCTCATTGGTACCCCAAACAATCCCATCCCTCAAAAAAAGTATAATCATGAATCTGACTTGGGCCAGTAATCATTGACAAGCCTCAACTGCCTCAGTATTTTCTGAATTAATTGCTACCTCACTAACTTCATGAAATTTTGGCCAAAAAGTATCACTACGTTTTATCAAGGAATTAAATGAATATCCCCGTCGGTTTTCCTAATTAATTGGACTTGGGAAAAAAATTATTTTTCAGACTGGTGGCATTCAATAGAGACTAATAAAACAGCTTATCTGTTGCATCAAGTTGTTGCAAGATGCATACCAAGTAGAGTTTACTAGACTCGCTGCAGTACTGAAGCAGTTGCATGGCTTTCCTGATTGCACTTTGTAACAAGCAAAGCACCTGTATTCCCGAGGAGCATCTAGGCCGGGCATCTTCTATCTCTGGAAATATCTTGGAGACTCTTCCAACCAATGTTATTAATTCTGTACACATTAGATGATGTACCTGCAATCATGGACTACTCATCAGATAGCAGAATCTAATAACTAAAATGAATAGAATATATTAACTAACAAGATTCTATATGAAAAAAGAGCACCACATAACCCAAAAACTGATAATAAAGCACATACATACAGTTGCTTTGACAGAGAAGTTATTAAACTTCCCCACGAAACTATCATTAGCCGTTCTTATAAGGAAATACATGGCAATATTTCTTTTTTATTTTTCGGGGACCATTGCCATTCAAGGAACAGCATTAGTTAAATTCCATCTTCCCCAAAGAAATACATTACACAATAGCTAGAATTTAGCAGCGCCATCTAGGACACAAGACATCTCTGTCTTCAGAAGACTTGGACATTTATATTTTGTATGATAAATTGATGATCCAGTATCCATATAGATTCAATCATCATGGGTGTGATACCAAAATCTGAAAAAAATATCAGATTGGCTTTAAAAGTGTTTTACATAGTAAACTGATTGGAAATTACCCAGCAACGCAGAATTATAATTGGCAAACATTACACTGGAAAAAATTACATATTTATACCTTTATGGCATGTGGAGATGGCAGTGTCTCCGTAATTTCAGTGACATCTGTCCCCATCTAAAAAAGATGTATGCTATATCTGCACATATACAAATTAAAATATTGAAACATGATTCTCTAACAAGAAATTCCTCTATTTCAGTTAATACAAGTGCATGCCTATGTATCATGCAATTCATACAATTAACTTATTTATATGATAAGAGATGAAGATATTCAACATGAAGGAATAGAAATTAGCAACATCAATATAAATCGAAGAGCTTGATTCTTGGAACACAAAAACAGCAACTAAACAACCCAATTTAAGGAAAGAAAATACAGAGAGGACAAAAGAGCGCCACAACAATGTCCTACATTATAATTACAGTGTTAATTGTAACATCTGTGAAGCTTTTAGGGATTTCAACGGAACCATAGCATAAATTTGTATCAATTAGAAATCAGAACTATACGCTGAATTTAAAATTAAAACCCAGTATGTAGTCCTGGTGACTGCATAAATTTGGATTGCCTACTGAAGATAACTTTTCAACAAGACAAGAACAACAATCTGACCTTAATGGTTATTGTAAAAACTCTATTGAGGNTTTTCAACAAGACAAGAACAACAATCTGACCTTAATGGTTATTGTAAAAACTCTATAAAGTCAGTACAATAGAGTTGTACGGGTCAGTTTAATATAGTTGTATACCTTAAGCATCACTCACACGCGCATATATACATCAATATGCCTGATATCAGATTCGCTTGAAATTTGATCCCAAAAAAAAAGATTCTCTTGAAATTTAAGTATCGAATTGTTCATATTTTGGTACTTCTTTCCAAAACGGAGCAGATAAAACAATACTATTCCTATCAAATTTAACGAAAAACTCATTTATTAAGTTGCACTATATGGTACACATCTTAAAACCATTCTATTCCTATACCCAGAATCAGATAACATAAATTCAAGTGAACTAAGCAACAAAAGAAAAACAGCAACACATGATGACACTCCAATGATTGTAGGTTTTCGTGGATCATGCAGAATAAGACGGGAGAAAAGTTAAAAAAAAAAAGCATAGAGGAGCTTTACTCAATGGAGTGACGGCAGAACCGCAATAACTACCTGCTTAGTGGGAAACAAAANGATTGTAGGTTTTCGTGGATCATGCAGAATAAGACGGGAGAAAAGTTAAAAAAAAAGCATAGAGGAGCTTTACTCAATGGAGTGACGGCAGAACCGCAATAACTACCTGCTTAGTGGGAAACAAAACAACCAGACTCGCATTTTCCTCAACTATGGAATATAAAAACAACACCAAAGCCACCATAGACTCTACCCTACAAAATTGGCCGCAACCCACTTCTCAAACCCCAAGGAAAACCCTTTACACAATTCAATTCCGGGCAAATTTTCAAGCTTTAAGGGAATATCTTCGGCGCTTCTTCTCCGTAACTGAGCAAAACAGGGCACGGGAGGAGCTTTGTAAATGAACAAGTTTTTACACAAGCCGAGTACATCATTTACTTTGCTCAAAAGAACCCCATCTGGTCAAAATTCAAGCCTTCAGGACCGTTCGTTTCTTCATATATAAAGCTGAACAACACAAGCAATCAAAAAAAACAAACCCACCCACAAATAGAAGACACAAACTCAAACGGATACTACAAGAACCAAAAAGAAAGCACCAACAAAACTGGCATGCTTTCTTAAGAAGGCTATCCAATGATGTATAACCGGAAACAAAGCAACAACCAAGCCTTCGCTCTCGCACGCGTCCAGAGTTGTACAATTGTTGGCTAAATTTGTGGACAGTAAGCTACTTCTTGGCGATGGAAATAGAAAAGAGAGAAAATGATGATGATGGTGTGGGCCTTTGAGAGAGAAAGAGAGAGAGCTGCTAATTAAGATGAGAAAGAGACGACACAGCATCGACATCGAGCAGTCCTTGAACACCCTTGGAACATTATTTAGTCAAAAGCAGCACCCCGGTTGGAGAATAGTCTAAAACTTCACCAATCAATTTCTTTTATTTTGACACTTCCACTGTTTCTGATTTTTATTTACAAAATCAACCCTATAAATTTCTGTTCCCACCCCCATTAAATTCTTAATCACAAAATTACTAATTATTACAAATTTCTGTTCCCACCCCCATTGAATTCTTAATCACAAAATTACTAATTACTACAAGATATTCAAGTTAAATATATTACTCATTTCGTTCTTAAATATTTGTCATTTAAGATTTTTACACAGGGATTAAGGAAGTTATTAAATAGCTGTAATATAAGTAAAAAATAATTATACAAAACTAAAATACTCTTATTCAATATGTATTGGAAAAAAAAAGAATATGAAAGACACTTAACCTCCACCTAATTTAATGCATTGAAAAGTTAAGGATAAATTTGAAAGAAAAAATATTAATTATGTTTTAATTTTATAAAACGACAAATATTATGAAACAAAAAAAAATTATGTAAAACAACGTATATTTAAGAACGAAGAGAATATTATATAGGATGTGTGAGATGAATATAGAACGAAAAATAGTGATAAGTTGTTCAAATTAAAACTCAAGTCTCTCGTCTTAAATGCATGTGCACTACTNATTTACAAAATCAACCCTATAAATTTCTGTTCCCACCCCCATTAAATTCTTAATCACAAAATTACTAATTATTACAAATTTCTGTTCCCACCCCATTGAATTCTTAATCACAAAATTACAAATTACTACAAGATATTCAAGTTAAATATATTACTCATTTCGTTCTTAAATATCTGTCATTTAAGATTTTTACACAGGGATTAAGGAAGTTATTAAATAGCTGTAATATAAGTAAAAAATAATTATACAAAACTAAAATACTCTTATTCAATATGTATTGGAAAAAAAAAGAATATGAAAGACACTTAACCTCCACCTAATTTAATGCATTGAAAAGTTAAGGATAAATTTGAAAGAAAAAATATTAATTATGTTTTAATTTTATAAAACGACAAATATTATGGAACAAAAAAAAATTATGTAAAACAATGTATATTTAGGAACGAAGAGAATATTATATAGGATGTGTGAGATGAATATAGAACGAAGAATAGTGATAAGTTGTTCAAATTAAAACTCAAGTCTCTCGTCTTAAATGCATGTGCACTATTACACATTCCTTCTATTCATTCACTTCATTCTACATTTTGTGGGCCCCAAAAAATCAACTTTTTTATTTTAATATGTGGTGCACATATATTGAGATATAAAATTTGAGTTTTGATTTGAACAATATAACATTTCTCAGAAAAAAAAATTTTAAACGTGAAAATTGAGATGAGTTTAGTCATTAGTGGGATAGATATAGAATGAAATAAACTTAGTTAGAGAATTTTCAATCCTTACCCTTTTTTAGATTCAAAATTTAAATTTGAGTAAAAAATCTCTAAAAATCTTCTTCAACCCTATACCTAAACTCATATCAAATCAATGAAGTCTCAAATTCTTATCTAAACTTTTAATTGTGAAATTTTACAATTCTTTACAAATCCAATGATCACATTTTAACCTTTTTTAAAAATTTAAATTATGATTAGAAATACTCTTATTAGTGAAGTGGGCATAAAAAAATGCACTTAGTAATTTTATAATTGAAAATTTAATAGAGTAAAAAATGATATTTGTAATATGAGAATAGCCCCTTGGTACAAAAATTACAAACCAAACAAGGCCATTTGTATAATTTTTCACGTAAGGAGCAAACAAAACAGTGGAACTAGTCACTATAATACTCTTAGCCCCAAGTCTCACATTCATCCCCAACTTTTTTTCCTTCGTCAATCACATCCTAATCGGTAACTGGAACCTAAATTAGTACCAAAACTATTACAAGATTAGCACATAAGCGTGAGTTAAGAATTTTTATGTCAGTCAATTTCCGTGGTATCTACTATGTATTGCTTTAGGGAAAGGCTACGGGATTATCCCAAAATTTACAACAATTTAAGGTTAAGTTACAATTTTTTGATGTGTAAATTACAATCTTTAAAGGTCATGATCGATCATATACATCTGTGATCAATCATGCACTTTTCTTAAACAGTTGTAACATTTTATTTTTGAATTGTAACTTCAACATAACGTAACATAAAAGTAATAAGTGACGGTACGGTACCGAAAGTGGTACCGTAAACTTTCCCATTGCTGTATATCTATAATATTATACACGTATGGGTACAGTTTACAAAAAATCACGTCACATGTTCAACTATGGCTATTTATTATTTTTGCGGAATCAGAGGACTTGTTTAGATTATATCTCCAAAATAGTTTTTCATTCTAAAAATTCTAAAATCAAAGAAGATACTATTTGATTAGCTTTTCTGTTCTCCATTTTTTTGAACATTTTAGGAATTGAAGTGTGATTTTAGACAACAATAAAATAATATTTTCATTGTTTTTTAAAGTAAAATGAAAACACAGAAAATAATCTATCTCCAAATTAATGAAGTTACCCATTCAAGTTTCGTTAGAGACAAAAAATGGAGATTGTTCAACTTATTCTTTTCTACCGCTCTCATTGAGCTCTCTCTCTCACACCTTTCCCTCTCTCACTCTCGCAACTATTGAATCTAACTTTCAGATCTATGTGTGTTTGTGTGAGTGTACATGTGTGTGTGTGTTTTTTGTAGAGAGAGGGGAAAAAGAAAGAGAGAGATGAGAATTGAAAGTTTTGTGAATTATTATCCAAACAAATTTTATAATTTTTTATTTTTTAAAACCATTTTTAAAAACATATAACCAATTNATTTGAAAGAAAAAATATTAATTATGTTTTAATTTTATAAAACGACAAATATTATGGAACAAAAAAAAATTATGTAAAACAATGTATATTTAGGAACGAAGAGAATATTATATAGGATGTGTGAGATGAATATAGAACGAAGAATAGTGATAAGTTGTTCAAATTAAAACTCAAGTCTCTCGTCTTAAATGCATGTGCACTATTACACATTCCTTCTATTCATTCACTTCATTCTACATTTTGTGGGCCCCAAAAAATCAACTTT